CTGAAAACAACATTCATTAGGCTTACGATAACACAAATACTTCCAATAATGTGTAACCGTCAGGATTTTACAACACACACACCTGGACAATTATCCCAGGACAAATATCACCCGACAACTAAGCCCGGACAACTACCCTTTCAGACTATTATTCTGACAACCCAGTAGTTGTCAGAAAAGACGCCAGGGTCATCTGTAAGGGGTGATTATCGTAGGCTAGTTGTAGGGAGGAAGATTTCTCCGGGTACTAATCCAAGGTAATTGTCCACTGGAATAGTTGCCCTAGATTAGAGTTGTTCTTCGGGGTAATTGTCCGGGATACATTTTATCGGGGTAGTTGTCCGGGGGAATTGTACCCTTGTGTCTAGGGAGAAGATGTCCGGATATAGGTAAATAGTTATGATGTCCCTCTGATGATCCGAAAACCTTATGACAAGTACATATGCATTTCCAACATTAACCACCCTTCGGGAATGCACCATACCTTTTACATACATTGTACTGCTACCCATGCTACCTGTAGACATCATAACCTTGAACTTACATGTTGGTAGTAGGTGCAACATTTCCCTGGTAGTTGTCAAAAAATAAGTATCACATATATATATTTTTAATGCTAGGTTGATAGAATCGAGATGTTATGTTTCATGTGATACCAAGCTCGTAAATCACCAAGGTGATAACGACGAGACAGGTGGGGAGATTTATGGGATCTTTGCAGGTGAGATGTGTTACCTGTCCTTAACTTTAATTCTCTAAGAGCCGAAAGAAAAAATCTTGAAGGATCGAAAGGGCTCGCTCAATGTAATTTGGGAGCAGGGGGGCGGAACCATATGCTTGAAAGGGTTGCGGGGGCCGGTGGCGGGGGCCGGTGCCGGGGGCACACTTCTGAAGAAATAAAAATCTGACAGGCAAAACAAGGGGGGTCATTGTTATATACTGTATGTATGTATGTATGTATGTATGCATGTGTGTGTGATAGCGCACGTAGTAGTAGTAATGGCGGCGATGGTGGTGGTAGTAGTAGTAGTAGTGGTAATAGAAGTAGTAGTAGTAGTAGTAGTAGTAGTAGTAGTAGTAGTAGTAGTAGTAGTAGTAGTAGTCGTAGTGGAAGTAGTAGTAGTAGTAGTAGTAGTAGTAGTAGTAGTAGTAGTAGTAGTAGTAGTAGTAGTAGTAGTAGTAGTAGAGTAGTAGTAGTAGTAGTAGTAGTAGTAGTAGTAGTAGTAGTAGTCGTAGTGGAAGTAGTAGTAGTAGTAGTAGCAGTAGTAGTAGTAGAAGGAGGAAGAAGTAAGTTGTATGTTGGTAGGAAAAAACATTTGATTTGTTTCTTTTTCTCAGCAAAATGTGATTTTGAAATATCAGTAAACCTCCCTATCTAGCCCTAGAAATCTAAAATCAGGGTGAGTTAAGAATTTCTTTTAGCCCTGAATTATTAATTCATATCAAATGTTTAGACAAATTTTTCAGGTAAATCTATTTTTAGAAGTTTGGCATTAAGACAAACGAGATCACGTTCTATTTCCTCATTGTTTTGATTATTTCTGTGGCCATAATCTTCGAATGAAAGCTCACATCATTAATCTCAGTCAAGCGTTTAAAGGAGAGACGAAGAGACAAAGAAGGGACAAGAATGGAAATCAACGAGCCATCTTTTCCTTGTAATTATTTGGAACATTATTTGGGGGGAAAAGTTCACCGTAAAGCCGTTTGTGGACTAACAAGAAAGGGGGTGGGGGTGTCCATAACAGTGAACGGTTACCCTCTTTCATGAACTCCACTTAACCCCTTTTTATGACTTCATAACCAAGTAATATACAAAGCAAATACAAAAAGGGGGGCTTTGAAATGCCGCCCCCTCTTCAAGGCTATTAGAGAGGGGCAGAAACTGTGAACAGGTACTGGTCACGGACAGCACTTAACCCTCCCTTTCTCCGTATTTTACGTCATTACCAAATAAAGCAAAGCAAATCAACCTTTTCAAGAAGTCAAGAAGTGCCCCGTATCTTCAAGGGCATTATGGGAGGGGCCAGAGAGTGCATTGTTACCTCTTTCATGGAATCACTTTTTGTCAGTATGCAACGTCATGACCGATTAACTTTTACTTACAAGCAAAGCAAACAGGAAACAAACAAAGAAAGATGAGATGTGCCCCATCTTCGAGACTAATATGAGAGCCTGAGAGGAGACTCTCACAAGCTGTATAATCGGTTACCATTTAAGTGGACTGCACTCTCTGTCATCCTCTTTGAGTGTCATTATACAATGCCATGACCAAGTAACTTTAACTAACAAAGCAAAAGGGGAAAACAAAAAGCTGAGATATGCATTATCTTCAAGATTATGGTGGGAGGGGGCACCCAATGTGAATTGTTGCCCCTTTTAATGAAGTGCAGTCTCCCATGTCATCCATTTTATTATGTAGCGTCTTGATTGAGCGGTTCAGTGCCCAAGAGAAATCAAAGCCAATTGTTCAATCTAATTGACTACAGACACAAAAATGAGAGGGGGTGTTTACAAACTTAGGCATTACGCCCTTCTTCATTGCAAAAAGTTAGGTGGAGGATTTGTAAAGAGATCGGGAAAAGGAGGAAAAGAAACGTTTCATCAGAATTAACGTTGAGTTTGGATCATGCAATTGCGAAAGAATGTGAAAGAAACTGAGTAGAAGCAATTGAAAAGGTTGATCATGTAGCACATGAGTATTATTTTATAAGACTAGACTTTACAAATTAATTCATTTTGTCAGGCATATTTTGTTGAAATACTTCTTTCTTTAAAAACAAAAAATATATAGAATAGACACTTGAAATGCGTATATATAACTATCATTAGTGATATTTGCTCCACCTAACTAATACATGTATGCTTGCATACCTTCATTATATGTCAGGAGGGGCGGAGCCAGAAATTTTTGAATAGGGGCGGGGTATCGAACCCAATTAGGCTCCCTAAAAGAGAGACAAATTAAACAACGCCCGCAGATATTCTTTTCTTTTTCAAACAAGGGTAGACACATGTCTTGAATCTACAAAGGAGGTCCTTATATTTAAAAATGATAGGTGATATAAGGACAAAATTCACAAGCTCACCCTCCCCTTCTAACCGTGACATCGCCGTCCATACCATAGCCTCTTCTTGGTGATAGTTGCATGAAAGTGAAAATACGTTGTAAAAAATTACCCAGGCAATGATTCACGGAGAGGAGGTTCACGAGAAAGTTCATGATCTCGATCAAACAAACACCTACTTTTACAAGTATTTCTTTTCACTATCACGAAATGCACTCATAAATCATTTCCATATCTCGGGGCTTCGCGCTCGTCAAGGAGATGACGAAATGTCAGAAGATACGATTATTCCGGTTTTATATCCTTGTTACAAGAAATATTTTCACATAGAAGATAACTCTCAAACCAAGTGATAAAAACTGCTCTTCATGCAGTCATGTCTAATACAAGGAGGCTTGAGAAGAAATATCCGATAAAATTGACATTACGTTGGATACATTTTGTCATTAATCATGGACTTATTGCAAGTAGGATTTTTCCAGCGAGGTGATTACTGAATAATATTTGGAACTTTATCCCTCGTCATTTTAGTTTATGAGTAATTGTTAAGGTTTATGGAAGAGAAAGAGATATAAATACGTCAGCTTCACTAGTTAAGGGCCTAAATGTACAGTGATGTGGTAAGCATTAAGCAGGTTTTTTTTTTTTTTGTTAAGATCGAGGAGACATCAATATAAGTAACTCCCCTCTTATTGGGAAACAAGGATTTGATGACAACGATGGTAATGCTGCTGCTGCTGCTGATGATGATAATGTTAAGGATGATGATGATCAGGAAGAGGAGGAGGGAGAAGGAAAGAGGGCGAGGACGAGGAAGATGATGACGAGGAGGATGATAAACTTCGTGGTTGGGGAGTCAGAACTCGAAAAATGCCTGGACAGTTACATGTATAACTTATTATCTCTCATTTTCTCTCCCCCCCTACCCTCTCCCTTTCCCCTCCCTCTCCTCCTCCCTCCCTCCTCTCCCCTCTTCTCTCCCCCCTCTCTCTCTCTCTCTCTCTCTAATTCCTTCTCAATGCAGGTGCTTTGTACGGTGAGTACACGCACGTCGACGACGTCTACAAGAACATCTTGACTGACGCTCAGCAGTTCATCAACCGAGATTTCTCCATCCTCCCCACCGGCGACGAGGTCTCCGTGGTCCACTTCCAAGCCCCCGATGGGATAACGTGGTTAAGAGATTCGGTAGCCGTGGCAGTGAGAGCCGGTTAGTATAAGAGAAACGATGCATGCACTCCCATCATTATCTGCCGTTGCCATGGTGATAATGGTGGTGGTGATGATGGTGCGCAGTGATGTTGGTGGTATAATAATAATAATAATAATACATTTATAGAGCGCAGAAACTATCCAACATCAAATATATATTCTACTGCGCTACAAGAGCTCATGACATGCTTAGATTTACATTTAATTGAAAAGATTCACAGATGGTGATTTCCTGACTTCAAATGGTTTAGTACTGGAGCGATGAAGATCATATCTGGATGACGAATATGGTGTTAAAAATATTGTTGATGGCGTATATACATGTAGTTGCGATATTGTGATGATGATGGGAGGAGCATGATGACGATTTTCAATGAATACGATAAGTGCGATGAATTTATCAAAAAAATCTTCCACCAATCCATGCATCAATCTCATCTTCATTGGACTTCATGCATGGAAGAACAGAGCCATTAGGTTCAGGCTCTGAAATGGACTATCCAACCGTTTTATCATTCTATTATTGTTATATAAGTCTTTGATTGATTCATTATATTGTGTTAATTTTTGTAATGATGATTTTCGGAAATAAAACAAATAAACAATCTTCCTATCCTCCCACCAGCTTGCTCCTTCATCGACAACAAGGATGCCCACGCCCTCATCATGCCCGATGACGTGTGCCGGACTGCGGAGGTCCTCGGCTATGTGATGGGGGATGCCTACTTACCTACCATCGCCACCGACCAGGCCGCCGAGTCCCAGGCCATCAAGATGTACCCTGTCAAGGACGACATGGTCGAGCTCATCTCGCGTGGGCGTGGTCAATCACTACAGATGGAACCCATGATCTTCCTGTATGACCAGGACAGTGGTAAGTCTGGCAACTCCCATTTCTTCTACTCCCTTCCCTCCCCTCCCCTCCTCTCCCTTCCCCTCCCCTTCCTTCCCACCTCTTCCCTTCCACCCCCTTCTCCTATTACCGGCGAATCTCCATTTCATTTATAAATGTTACCACTGTAACTCGCTTCAGTCTCAACGCCTGTCTTTCGGAGTCCGTGGACCGGAAGTAAAAGATTTCATAAAAGGAGCGGGCACAATACCTGAAAAATGATAAGCAAGGAAAGACAGCAGAAGTGCTCCAACGATGAGTACGATTTGCATAAACTCGTTAAAATCGAAAGGCTAAATTACAAATAGAAGTATCATACCTACACGCAATTGGTGTAATTTGTTTGTATTCATCCTTCTTTTTAAACATGGAGTTACTAACTCCATGGTTTAAAGGAATTGGTAACTTTGTCTCAGATTCTGAAACAAAATCCTAGATTTAGCTCATGTTACAATCAATTATAAACTTTAGGTCAGTCAGGAACCCCATGACTTTTACAAGCCGATCACCTGTCTGATTATCAATATTTATGGTTGGAAATCGAAATTAAAAATTCGTTTTCCTAACGGTTTTTACAGTAAACTCGGGGAAATGAGTATGGTAAAACCGGTCACTCAAAGATGTTCCTTTTTTGAGGCACTATATGATCATTTGAAGCGAAATTTTGTAGGGCTTCAATATTACACCATATCACAGACACTGATAACACGTAGAGCCATGCATCTCAGATTTAACATTGTTAAACGATGCCTTTAATAAATTGTTGATAGAAAGTACAGATAATACTGCTTGACATCACGTTGAATAATAAACAGTGTGACGGCAGTGAACTAGTTTAATTATTCCATTGCCGCCTTAAACTTTCAATATTATTTAGATTTTTTAGGAACATATGTGATTCACACATTTTTTTTGTATCTATGTTTTTATTGGAAGTCTTTTAGGTTTTATAACAGAAACTTAAAACACAAGGATAACAAAATATATGATTCATTGTTTGTTTTCCTCTTTACCTGGCTTCCCATCACTAATTTCATGTCTTGTCATTAATCATATTTCAAAAGACGTCGAACTGTCAAATTAATTGGTAAAACCAGCTCTATAGAAATCCGTTGATTCGCTACTAACAATAGTAACAAATGTTCCCTTTTTGAACTTGGATGTTTTCCCCTCCCTTTTCAAAGAGGTGCCTGGCGGACTCCATGTGTATCGTACGGAACGTCATGGCATTTTAAATATGAACTTTTCAACTTTGATGTTTTTATCTTGTTTTCTGCTGGTGTATTACATGCTACAAGCGCCAATGAGCACTGAATGGCACGGGATGGGTAATGCCACTTCGTAGAAAATCGAAGAAAATATTTTCCAAAGTCCGTTGAACCTCTTTGAAATGACATGTTTTGTGGGGGATAAAATTTCCATTGCAAGAAAGAATAACATGTGTACATTTTCAAGAACTTAATTAGCAAATTTTAGATTCAGAAGATTTTCTTTTGTTTTTGAAGGGTGAAGGACAAGGTACTCATGATCTTGTCCTGCTGATTTAGAATTTGTCAGAGTTGACAGCAAGTTTACTGGATTATTTGGATTATCATGACTCATATTAGACCATGTGATGCACGCACAGGCGCGTACGCAGGATTTTTTTCAAGGGGGGGGGGGGGTTAACATTTTCTAAATCGGGCCGAAAATTTCGCAACGACTCAGCCAGCCGCTGAATAAGCAGGGGGGGGGTAAGAGGACACTTTTTTTTTTTTTTTTTTTTATAAAAAAAAAAAAAAAAAAAAAAAAAAAATCTAAAAGGGGGGGGGGTTTTAGAGAAATTTAGGGGGGGGGGGGTTTACACACAAAAAAAATACCAAAGGGGGTTTAACCCCCCCCCCACCCCCCCCCCCCCCCCCCCCCCCCCCCCCCCCCCCCCCCCCCCCCCCCCCCTGTGTACGCGCCTGTGCACGCATTGGCCGTGGCGCGAACCCTCGATTCTCTTCTTTGTTGTTGCTTATTAACCCGGCTGATAACTACTCTCCATTAAAATTGTTTGGCAAATCTTCATTATTGTCTTGAACATTCAATGTAAGTTTAGCTGTTAAGTTTCATTCTGTAAGAATTTATTATTCTTCAGAGCGCCTGCAAATCTTGAATTATGCAGACTGTATAATATACATTTTTTAAGAGCCTTTTTTCATATTCAAACTATGATCGGAAGAATATGCGCTCAATAGTATTAGAAACATGAAAGCGCTTCATGAAAGTAGCTTTTCCCTACTTAACAGACCGCGTGGTATAGTTAGTGAATTTGGGCTCTTGACTATTATGACAGGTCCCCCGGGTTCGGTCCTTGCTTGGGGCTCATCATTGCGCAAGGTTTCTTTTTAAATCACATCTTCTCTTATCGACTATAGACAATAAAACTTGCAGCTTCCTCGAGAAAATGTAATATAAATACTAATTATTACCAAACCAAATTATCTGACTATAATTTATGTAGTCAAAACTTTGAGATTTGTATGGTTCAAATGGAGGCCCCGTGTAGAGGAGAGTCTCCCCCTTTGCACGTTAAAAACCACTGAACTATTCGTATAAAAGTAGGGAAACCCCGGTGAAGTGGACCACCTGCAAACCCCCAATCAGTTATACCAGGAGGAGAGACCCAAGGTTACAGTGATTCATTTCGCCTCTCGCCTCCTAGGCACAGGTGACGCCAAATTATTATTAATAATAATAATAATAATAATAATTTTTTTCCTTGACAGCTTATGACATCCTTTCCGCGATGATGAGCAGGACCCCGCAGCATGGCTGGGTCATCCATCCCATGATACTAGCTGATGACGTCCAGGCCCAGATGAAAGAACTCAAAGCGAAAGCCATCAAGAACATCATCGTCTACATGCACGTCGAGGAGAACATCAAAACCGTGGTTGACCACGTACGTATTTTTTAAATAATTATATGCATCAGTTTCAACTCTCGAAATGTACGGGAGTGGAAATCCACTCCCAAAAGAGTTCATCGACCACTACCTTGGAGTGGGTTTCACTATGTCTTGGAGTGGATTCGACTCCAAAGGAAGTGATCCGTAATATGACTCCGAAGTTAATGGATTCCCTCTCCTTTGAAGATCAGTACAGTGTACAGTGTACATCGAGAATTAAATTCAAACTATGTTATAATATAAAAACACTCGATGGTCCCCCCTCCCACCTATCTAGTAAATTCTTGATTCAAAATTACCATCTCAGCCTTACAGCTTCTTAGTTCCCATTCCCCTTCTCGCGGCCTATTCCTTTCTCGCTCCCTTTGCCAATATCCCTTTCCCCTAGTTTACTATTTTCATGTATTCCTTATCAATTATATTTCCTTGTTTCTCTTTCCCGATGTAGGCATACGAGGAAGGAGTACTCACGGACACGTGGCATTGGCTTTTCGGAAACCCGGTAAGTTGGTCACAGATAAGACGGAATCCCTTCTTTTATCCAGTGGTTCCAAGTCAAGAAAAAAAATGGAAGAACAAGCTTGTCTGTTTAATAAAGTTTTATAAAAAGCCGATGAAAGGTATTTGGGAGGTCTAATTTTCTTAAGTTTTGAAGATTGATAAACGACGTCGCAACTCTAAAATTTTCTTTCGGTGCTTCTTGACATTAATTTCGTACAAAAAATACATATTTTTGCTGCTTTCTCTAGAAAAGTGTTCCCAAATAAAACTGTGGCCGCAATACACTACTTTTTTGCTTCTATCGATCTTCAGTATATCGGTATGCTGTATTATATTGGGTTTTAAAAAAGAATGATAATGGTTATGGTATTCAACATTTTATGATGCGTAATCACTGACAATTTTGAAAGAATTTAGCAGGCCACGCGCATGGAAATGAATATTATAAAAATGTTTATAAACAGTTTTGGCATGAAACAAATACTTCATAATGAAACGGCCCTGTGCATCCAATTTACCAAGTGCATATTTGTTTTATATTTATATTGATTTTGTATTTTTTAAAACTATCTTGTCCACCTTCTCAAACGATACAGAACGTGGCCTACCTGAACAAGAATTTCCTTGAGACAAGACTCCGTTACAACTCGGCATTCATCACCCGCTTCAAAATGCAAGTAGCTTCTTCGGTCGAAGGCACCTTCTACACCCGAAGACCCGACGCCATCCGAAAATGGCCGTTCCGACAGCAGATGACCTACGATTCAATCCTGTCGGTTTCGTACGCCCTGCGAGCTTACCATGACCAGCACGGCAGCTACCCGCGCTCGGGGAGATGCGGCGATAAAAACAGCCCACTCCTACCCTTTTTCAACAAGGTAAGCCTCATATAATGATACGAGAGGAGCTTAATAATATGTAGGGTAGAAATTGAGACTTAAGTTATCTTTATTTTTTCTTGATTCAAATAAATATTTATTACATCAAGATTTTTAAATATTTTTTCAAAATATTATTTGTATCCGCTCTGCTCTATCACTCTTTTCTCTTTCTTTCCTCTTTGTCATTCCCTCTCCGCTCTCTCCCTCTTTCTACCCCCACCCTTCCCCCTCCCTACCACAATATGGCGATTCTTGGCGAATAACGCTTTGTTGGTGGTGTGCCCAGATGAAACTTAGGGTATGTTTATGCTCAACTTTTTCTGGCCAGAATCAGGCATCTGTTACGCGTTTAGTTAAAACAAGGTTGCGTCCTGGTCCTTTCTCACTTTTGTAGAATCACCGAAAAAACGGCGATCACGATCACCGATCGTAAACTCACAAAAAGGTGCGTTTACAATTTGTAAATGCGTTTAAATGGGGTCAACGCACTGACCTCTAGTGGGTCTACGTAGCATGCACAGTGCAGGTTTCCGAATCCAGCTGCAAGGCCAATTAAGGCCACCCAGCGATAATTGCCTGGAGGAGCCAGAGAAGTGAGCATAAACAGTACACCGTGGAACTGCGATTACGATGAGCGTTTACGATGAGCGTTTCAAATCGCTCATTCTGCCTTCAAAATTGAGCTTAAACGCACCCTAGTTGGCCAACCTCTGTGTATAGATGTCTCTGGAATGTTCTACCCCCCCCCCCTCCTCCTTTTCATATCTGGATTTTGTAAAATGTTGTCACGCAGTTCTACAGGAGATGACAACTTAAACAGCTGGATGACACTTTATTATCTCTTCACATTTCTCTCCTTTACAGGCTCAGTCTTTCGAAGGCTGCAGCGGAGAAATCCTTCGATGCTAATGGCAACCGAGTCAACTACACTATTGATATCTTTGTCGGCAAGAACCAGTATCTCTCGACCAGCAAGGTAAAAGGAAATATTTAAGTCCATATCTTCATTTTGTTCAGAAAGTAGTAAATCTATGTTATGTCGCTGATAAGTGCTTTTGATAAGTTTTAAGGACTTGGCAATGTTATGGACCTCAAGTCACATACAATCATAAAGTTCCAATGCCCTAATCAGAGTGATTCATGGCCAGTAAAATGATGAAATGTAACTGAACACGTAAATGTATACACCGATATGTTTGTTTGTTTGGTTGATTGATTTTATTCCTGCGTTCAAATAACAAATAAAAGTTATACATTTGTACATATTAAGTATTACATACATAGCAAATCATGTCTAAAAAATATTATACAATAACCGTAATAGTGAGATGAAGGGAAATGTCGTCACAAAACATACTCTGTCTGCGTTTTCTCAATTTAATAATAAGAACATTTTAATGATAACCCAATGACCATTCAACGAATTCATAATGCAGCAGCAAACGGACTTGATCAATTTAATGATCAATTTGATTACTATACATGTAGATTACTTCCCTGTAGTCAATTGCATATTCACGTGATTTTAATGATTGATCAATCGATGAAAAAATCAATTGGTAAATAATTAGACTGCAGTAATCTATTAATAGTCTCTCATTCCATGATCCATACAAATGATAGATTATCCAGGCGATATTTCAACTAACAATTTCAACGGATGATGTAATTTGTTTAATCCCTTGTTTTAATGATACTGCTAGTCCGTCACTACAAGATAATGAAGTGTAATGCAATCAATTACTCAACCAACCAACCAATCAATCAATCACTCATTCAATCAATCAGTCACCTAACCCGACATTCAATCAACCAATCAATCAGTCAATCCCATTTATCAAATAATCAATACATCCCCTGACCAAACAATAAATTAACCAATCATCAATCAACTAGTCAATCAAACAATCACTCACTCATTCAATCAAGCAATCAATCAATCAATCAATCAATCAACCAGTCAATCAATCCATCAAATAATCAAACTGTTTACCATTCCTTCTCCTGACTCACTGAGACCATCGATCAGTACAAAGCAATCACTCAATCAATCAATCAATCAATCAATCAATCAAAGCAATCAATCAATCAATCAATCAATCAATCAATCAAGCAATCATTCAATCAACAATTAAAGTATATTTCCTTCTCTTGCTACAGCTTGGCGTATTCACTCAGAACATTGATCATTGGGAGAAAAAGGAACGGTCGACGTGGATGAACAGAGGTTCGAGACTCTACATGAAACCTTACAGGATGGCTGAAGCCACTCATATTCACATCCTTAGTATTGAGGTAAGTCCCCCACCACCAGACCCCCAACCAAGACGCCCCACCCCAGACGCTCTATCCCCAGACACCCCACCCCAGACGCCCTTTCTCAGACGCCCCACCCCAGACGCCCTATCCTCACACGCCCCCATCCACTGTAAGTCATCCCACACTATCAGCATTAGGTCTGTCGTTCTTCGTACATCCCCCTAATTTGCTTCAACTGCGTACCCAAGGATGGGGGGACTGGGGCATGTGCCCATAAAATGATTCTTGGAGCCATAGATACCCATCCGTCCCCATAAATTTCCTTAATAGCACCACCTAAGCTCTGTATGCGTCAGAATTACAAGTTTCAATATTTTCAAAGTAATTTTTAAAAATAAATATGTCCTCCTCCCCCTGAAAGCTGTGATCACTGCGCCCCCGCGAAAAAAATTCCTGTCTACCTTGCTGCTTTGCTCATTGATAAACCTATCTTTTCAGAGCGGCATTACAAGGGTTAAGAGTGACACCTTCCCCCCTCTTATGTTAGCCACAAAAAAGCATCCCAATTTGCCGAAATCATCTATATACAACCATTAGGCAATCATCATGATAGTTTCTTCGTTTTCTTGCTACCCGTACTCACACTTATTTTTGATATTGCGTTACGTAGTAAATACCAGTCGGTCTTTTACAATGTCGTCATCGTATTCCTTATCGTACCCTATAGGAACCACCTTTCCTGATGCACAGGGATTACGAGCTGACTCGAACTCCTAATCGTCGTCGATTCCGTCGTCAGGAGGTCAATCCTGATCTCGACCTCTATATCGGCTACGTCCCCTCCCTACTCAAGGAGCTCAAGAAGGTGTTCGAAGAGGACATGGGACTGGACTTCACCTACAGGCAACAATAATATTCCTTTTTGTTTGGTTTCCCAGATGGAATGCAATGCATCTTTAATTTTGACATTTATATGCAAAACACTATATATCTCTGCAAAATACAACAGGAACGGCTATCTTGAATCTTTTAAAAAGATGCTTAACATTTGAAGTTGAGGGTTCTTTCTATCAAACGCAATAAATTGTTGTATTAGTAGATAAATGGAGACATGTGCAACTGATGTAATTTTATATGCAAAAACACTATACATTCTCTGCGAAAATACAACAGGGAACGGATATCTTTGAATTCTTTTAAGAAGATGCTTAATTTAATGAAGTTGAGCGGGTTCTTTCTATCAAACGCAATAATTTGTTGTATTAGTAGATAAATGGAGACATGTGCAACTGAAGTAACAATGTTAGTTTACCGAAATGTCACAATAATTAATAATAATAATAATACTACTAATGATCTTTTTTAAAGTCCACTCCAAATTTTATTAAGTTAAACCGAAAATGGAAATTCTTTTTGCCCAATTGATCGTGAGCCCGGCAGCCACTGAGCAGCGCCAGACAACATGTACTTTGTTCAAATTTATTTTCTGTTCTTGCTCAAGAATGATTGAATAACAACTTTCTTTGGAAAAAAAAAAATTAATATTGTCGAATCATGGATATGAAATAATCCCTGGAAACGTGGGAGTATTAATGGTAACTCCCATGGAAACCTTGATTTGATTGGCTGTTGACTGATGTTGCCATGGTAGTTAATTTTCATTGATGGCAAAGTTACAATCGGTGAAAAATGTTATGCACTGGGAGCGATTTATTTTTACAGGAAACTTGAGGGTAGATAGTTCGGCCAACATGATTGCATAGACTGTTGAAAAATCAACCTAGGGAAATTTAATTAGTCTTTTGCATCAGAAAATGTACAAAGTTTACTTAATATATTACACAAACCAAACCTGATTTCTATAAGCAATATTACACCTTTTTTTTTAATTGACTTTGACAATAATTATATTACTGTTTTCTTAGCATCCTGTTATTGGTCCAATACATTCTTCTGGTGTCGTCACAGTAACCTTCGAGTATGCTCCGGTAGTCTTCAGGAGCATACTGATCAAATCTTCGAGAACTAGAACTTTGATCTAATTTCAGGGCTCTCGTTCCTTTAAAGACCCACTGCGATACTTATAGCTACTTGTGCCCTCTGTATAGCAAACAATGGCTTATCGGTGCATGTTGGTCCCCCATGATCCCCTTTTCTTATGTTAATTGAGAGCTGATTCGATGAGATAACCACCTGTCAGTGACATTGCAGGAAGGGGTAACCCCACTGGCCAAACTAGTGCAGATGGGCTTTAAAAGAATACATGATTCTAACCTGAATATACCTACAGATTTGAAAAAAATACTGATATTTTACTTACTGGAAAAATTATGTTTGATCTCGCAGGCTGGAGCTCCTCGGTGAAGGAAACTACGGTAAATACGACAAGTCAACACTGGAGTGGGACGGCATGATGAGGGATCTATACGATGGGGTAGGTCTTCTTTCTTGACCTTTTTGAGGGAGTGATTTGTAGGTAAAGACCAGTTTTGAAAACCCCTGTCTCAACAAATGAAATGAAAGCTCTTATTACCAATCATGTGAAAGAATATGCTTTGACTAATACGTGATGATACAAAGTTTGCCGGGAAACCGCCTACTAATTAATATATTTGGTAAATTATTATATCTATCCGGACTGGATAGATATAGGGTAGTCCCATATACATCGTTTTGTGTACTGTGCTGGTAACTTAACCAAGACTGGGCCAAATTTCTTATCATTTTGATGATTCCAGAACCTTGAAGTACACATTGATATTATATGCTAGATGATCAAACTTTCTAATCGATTCCACAAAGTTTCTTTCACAATGCAATCTCTTGACCAGACCTGGTGTATACCTTTAAAAGGGGAACGCACATTAATGAAGGGGAGGGCCAGCATCGACTCTGACAGGGAAAGGGTGCATCTATACATCCTCAGATGCTGTAGAACAAACACAAGTTGTAATGGTATTTCTTTTGAACTGTGGGCTTTTAAACTTCCAACGGGAGGGGGACAATGGGAGAGGCATACGGCGGTTTCAAACGTTACTTCACATTGTGGTATAATATTATTAATTTAAGGGCAGTTTGGGTATTGTGTTAACAAATACTAAGACAAAAGATACGACAACAACACAGAGAAAAAGAACACAGACCTGCTAATTATATTTGTCCATATAATTACATAGGTAATTTTTTTAAATCTTTTATAGGACGCTGACGTGATCGCTGCCGCCCTCACCAAGACTAAAATTCGAGAGGACTATGTCGATTTCACGTCCACCTGGTATACAGGCGACGTCAAACTCCTGATCAAACACCCGTCTTTCGTGTGGGAGTACCCCTTCGTACCGGTCTTCCCCTTCAATATCTATGCCTGGCTAACCAACTTCCTGGCTTTCTTCGTTGCCACGATACTCATGTGGCTGATCAGTCGGCTCAACCAGAACGAATGGAGGGCGATGTCCATCCGTGGAGAGGCCACCGAGGACGAGGGTCAGACCTTCACGCTGTACAACACCACGTATTACATGCTGTCTATCTGGGCTTTCCAGGGGTTAAAGAAGTCCCCGCATTCCTACAGCGGAAAGGTCTTCACTGCCTTTTGGTTCGCTTACACACTGATCATGGTCTGGCTCTACGTCTCGAACCTCACGCCGTTCTTAATGGCCAGCAAGGTTGGCTTCAAGGTCAGGAGCCTTCATGACCTCAACAAACAGGAGCAGTTCGGGTATGGCGTGGTGCGGAATAGTCCGACCTTTGACCTCTTTCACGAGTCGACCACAGGCGACAAAAGAATCACGTGGGACGACATCCAGACCGGTGACGAGGATAAGATCGTCCAGGACAGCATCGAGGGCGTCCGCAAGGTCAGACGAGACAACGGACGATATGCCTTGCTCTCCGAGAAGAAAATGCTGGAGTACGAGGCCTATCGGTGGCCGTGTGATCTCTTCGTGTCTGGTGGATATGTCACCAAGATCAAGTTCCCCTGGCCGTTCAGTCGGGATCACCACTTCGGGATCAGCTCACTTACGCCGTCCAGAAACTCAAGAGTAATGGCGTCATGGCCAACATCACCAGCACTAGTTTTTTCAAACCGTATTGCTCCAAAACATCCCTTTGGCAAACGGAAGCGAAGAAATCCATCACAGGAGCTGATCTGGCGGGTATCTATTACCTAATGCTCCTGGGATTCGCTTCCAGTCTCATTATGTTCGCTTTGGAGACCATTTACTTCTATCTCCGCGGTAACAGCGGCGTCAGAATGCCAATGAAAAGCCGTCGGCAGAACGATAACCTGGCACTCAGCCGTAACGGCGGGGGCGGCGGCGGTATTGGGGGTGGCGTAGGAATGCGTGATATGGATCGCGGAGGACGCGTTGCTGCTCCCCCTCAACGTGCCGGAGAATTTGAGAAGAAAGACTGGCTGTAAATAAAAGTCACACCTGTCTCCTTTTTTACAAAATGAGCAAAATATCTTACTCTTTCAGCTTATGTTGTATGATATTCTAATGAGATGACGAGATTTATCACTATATATTTCAATGCCATTTCTGTATCGGTTCTTGGTAGCAATAATGTTTTGTATCATCTTGATTTTTGAGTATTATGTATGGTATGTACGCATTATTAACAATTGTATTGGTAATGTGAAATAAGCATTCTGGATTTATTCGGCCATGCGTGTGAAAAGGGCGTTTCTATAATTTGATGATTTAATTACACGGTTAAAAACTTTATCACTTTTACTCGACTCTGCTAGATATTTTAGCCAATAACATCTGATAAATATACTTCAAAGACAAACGTTTCTCAATATTGATTAATTACTTTGTGATGCCCTTTTTCGTCGTTGTTTTCAAAGGCCTTCTGAAGGGCATGATTGTTTCCCCCTGTAAATACTTTAAACCATCTGGAATGATGTTGCCAATTTTTATTAACTTTTGATGTCTTCATCAGAGAATTGAGATAGAGGTGAAATCTGAAGACATGATGTGCTCGTTTGCACGAGAACAATAAAGTGTTGCTTTTTTAATCTATACATAATATCAGGAATGATGCATTTCTTTGTCTGTCGTTTTTCTTTTTTGTATTTCGTCTTTTTGACAATGGAAAAACTGAATTCCATAATCACAAACTATTTTAGTATTCTTGGGTGATTGAGAGCGTGAGTATAAGAGAGAGAGAGAGAGAGAGAGATATATATATATATATTGAGTGAGTGACTGAGAGAGAGATGGAAATACTGAAAGAGAAATTGATTGAATGACTGGGAGAGAGAGAAAGAGAGAGAGCGAGCGAGAAAAAGCGAGTGTGTGTACAGTGTGTATGTGAGAGAGAGAGAGAGAGAGAGAGAGAGATTACCACCACCATTCTCATCATCACCATCATTACCGTTATAAAATTTAGAGTTAACATCCCCTTCCTCCTTCTTAGCATCAACTCCACCACCACCACCATCACCACCGCCATCGTCATCATCACCGTTATCATCACCATCATTATAATAATCATTATCAACATCACCACCATCATTACCACCATCACCGTCATCATCATCATCGTCATCATCATTATCGTCACCATCATGCTCATCCTCATCACCACCACAACCATCATCATCATCATTAGCATCATCATCATTATCATCACCATCATGCTCATCCTCATCACCACCACAACCATCATCATCATCATTAGCATCATCATCATTATCATCACCATCATGCTCATCCTCATCACTACCAATATCACTATCATCATCTTCACCATTCGTGTCATCGTCGTCATGATCACGATCACAAGCAAAAGGATAAAGAACTGCCAGTAAAAATGATGTTTTGTACATTTGTATTTTATAAAATAGAAAACCCTCGCACCTTTTTACATTTTACATTTTAGTATCATCATACTTCCAATATTTTTATACAAAACGATCAAACACGAACATAAGTCATCTGAACGATATTTGGGGTAGATGTATCAAACACATTTTGGAAAGTCCCAACACGATACTTATTTTAAAAGAAGCTATTTTTGTTCACAACAGACTAACAGAAAATTGCAAAATGTACATTCATTTCAATACGATATCATAATGATAATATATCGTTCCTATATAGTTTCATTATTAACATATGCCATTACAAATACAACAAGTATATACAACATATTTTGAGCAATATCAATAACAATATTCATTCACGCACGCATGTATTTCCAATTCTACATTTCGTCACATAGAATGATAACATTCATACAAATGTTAAGCAAAAGAAACAATGAAATAAATGGACAAACAGGGTGATTTCATTGGTAGTTATTAATCATTATTGTTTGAAAACATTCAATTTCCGAGAAACTATTTCAAACGGAAATCTTTTGATTTAGTTAGCATGGAAGTAAAGAGTTACTATTTTCCACCCACAATGCTTGCTATAAAAAGTTTTCCCCATTCTATGCAAAAGGATCTTCAAACCCTGTTTTAATCATGCTCATTTTACAACATATTTATCATTTATGTCTCATCTTTATAATTATGTAAATTGTAGGGTATGTAAATTTTATAGCTAGTCAAGTCTACACTTATGAAATGCCTAATTTAGTAGTTCCATTTTTTTTCTGCGTACAAATTTGTCCTCTTTATACCGTTCACGACTTTGACGATCAAGGCACAGATGAGTTCTTGATTTACAGATGGAGAGTACTGAGAAGGTCTAAACTGTTACATGAGGCACTGTTTTGTGACAGAGAAAGGAATGTTTCTGCTTTATCCTGATTATATCTCGATATAAAGATTGAATTGAAAGTTTTGTTGAAGTTTAGATGAATGTTAAATCCATAAGTTTGCATCATTTCCTCCGCCGCCTCCGGAACCTACGCCACCACCGCCGGAGGAGGCAGCCTTTTTGCCACCGGACTTGCTAGATCCAATCCCGCCGAAAGTGCGCTTCCCGTTCTGCTGACGACCACCGCTCGAGTTCCCTGTCCTTCCGTCCTTCCCCTTGCATCCACAGACCATGAGCTCGAGGACGAAGACGAGGATGCTGATGGCGAAGCCGAGTAAGAGGAAGAAGTAGATGCCTTCCAAATCGCTGACGGTGAAAGAGAACATACCCATCCGCTCGTACCTGGTGAGATTCCTGCAGCGTTGATAATAGTTCCTGTCCAAACCCCACCATTCTCTCTGGAGATCTTCAAGGACACCTGTATCTCTAAGCGTCTCTATGGCATATGACAGGTGGTCACCCAGCGGCGAGCCCTTGGCGACCACCATTGCGTAAGTGCTACGATCGACGAACCCACCGCTCACGATTAGATCGCACGGGCGCTGACTAGCGGCGTATTCCAGTTCGCCGGATTCCCCAAGGAAAGCATACTTGCCGTTGCTGTCTCGGACTCGCTGAATACCAACAGTGGTGTTCTCGACGTACACCTTGGCTGGGTTATGGTACATCCTTTGCCAGATGCGATTGTAGGCGGGGATTCCAGACTTGAAGAGGTACCAATGGATAGAACCATCGTACACCGTTCCGATGTTTACATCAGCCTGGTTGGTCAGGTCATCGGCGTTCTTGATGTACACAAGTCGCTTGTTGGTGTTGATCTTCCCGGGGAGGTTGAAGAGGTAGACGAACACCATGACCAGCACGAACACCCACCAAAAAGCCGTGAGCGTATGCCCTGCGTTGGAGCGAGGACCGCGGTCATATCCTTGGAGGAACAGCGTGGTCGTGCAGTACCAAAGCGAGTTCTTCCAGGAGAAGGTGCGCCCGTTCTCCTCGAAGGTCTCGCCTCGTTCGGCGGCGGCTTTCCACTCGTACGGGTCGAAGTAGTTGATGAGACAGAGAATACCGGCGACGATGAGGAAGGTACCAAGGTTGATGAACCAGACTTCGATGCCGAACGGATGGAGAAGACGGAAAGGGTTGTGGTCGATGTAGTAAGGATTCTTGAGGAGAAGTTTGATTCCTCCGCTCATGAAAGAATCGGTGAATTCGACGTCAGCAAGACGCTCTTTCGTGATGGTGATGGGAGCAGCAGCAATGTCAGCTTTCTGTGAGTTGATAGAAGCAATGAAACCATTAAGAAGATAAAAATTAAAATCTAAGTATTGAATAAAACTTCTTCTTTTTTCTTTTACTTTTGTTTTCAATGTTGTCGCAGATGAAATCAACTACTACCTGCAATTTGTATAGATAGGCCCATGCTCCAGTTACAAGAAGAAAACAATTGGAGGCAAAGTTTTATGGTCTACCACAACTGGATATAACATTTAAAATCTTTACATTTCAATTGGGCATCACGAAATTAACTATATGATGTGAAATGTTCAAGTTCTGCCCTTGGCATGTTTTATAGTCAATCCAGAGTTTTCGGGGGCGAGGACATGCCTCTTTCGACTCCCCCCTCCCTTATTAAAATAATTATTTCGAACCATTTTCTTTGATTTGAAGCAAACTTTGCGCCTTATCATGTTACAACATGACTTGTTCATCAAAGGAAGGGAAAGGATGGGCATACGCTAGCTTTGCGCTGGATACGCCAGTAACGCCACTGCCCATGAAAGGTAAAAGAGCAACTCTGATAGCTCACCTTTCGCAGCACCTCTCCAATCATGCCGTCCCATTTCTTGCTGTACTTGCTCTTGTGGCCGTACTTGCCGTCGGGCACGAGCTCAACCTCGTACTCGAAGTCGATGCCTCGCATGTACGCCTTGATCCTGCTCAGAAGGTCCATCATGTAGCCATCGTAACGGTCGTTACCGGTGTAGGGACCCGTCTGGATCTGTCTCTTGCGCCGGCCGTTCAAGATGCTGTTCTGCTCACGACGGAGCTCCAAGTAGTTTTCTCGCTTGAAGAGAAACGGTTCCGACTTTGAAAAAAAAAGAAGGAGTAGAAATCAGAAAATATGAGAAAGAGTCTTTCACATCGTCCCCCCCCCCCCATTTCAATACTTTCATTTGACCAAAAGGGGGCTGTCTTGTCGAGACCGCATTCGTCATATAGTGCACCCTTAAACCACGACTTGTTATCTTCGTTTGTAAACCTATTTACAAATCACATTACAATGGAATATATTTGTGCATTTTGTACATGTACTAAAAAACTTGAAATTGAAATCATTGAGACATGCACAGTACATTTAAAATGGACTACAATAAGGCTTCAATTCATTGTATCACTATCTAACATTCAATTACAAGCCCATCAAATACATCTGTTAGAATGCATGATCACATGAAATATTCGGTGTCAGAAAAAGAAAATAAATTAACATTTTTCCTTGGCGATTACCTTTCATTGAGTTATTCGTATATTTTCAATGCATCATTTGTATTTTGGGAATCGAATGGATAAGTAATAAACTCACCTCAATAGTAACGATCTTGATACGTCTGTCGTTTCCATAGTTGTAGTTCGTAACGTTGAGTTTACCTTCGCTTTCCCATTTTCTGTTCCAAGTATTTTCCCAATGCTCAACGTTCTGGGTCCAGATACCTCGCTGAAATAATCAAAAAATGGGAGGGGGTCAATAAAAGCAGGATTATTTTTAAACAGATTTTGCTCAGCTTGTCAAAACAAAAAATACCCACCATATCAAGAACGGAAAGAGGTGCAAATTAAGTCATTAATACGAGGTATACAATCCTCATAATTCTGGCAAATAATATTGGTAATCTAATACAGCTTCAAACATAATTACACGATACTGACTGATTGGAATTGAAGTATGATGAGAAGTTTGAATAAGGCAACTATTTAAGGCGCATCGTGATCTACTATATATATATATATACCCATCATACAATTATCATTGATCATTTATATCTGGTATATGCATCTGGTATAATCTCCGAAATGTTACATTTTGACAGTTGTCATGGTAACTGAAAACTTACGATCTGATGAACTGATTCTCCCTGTCCACTGTAGATGGTAATGGTGTAATTGATGCGGTCTCCGATGTCGTTGAAAGCTACATTTCCCGTTATACCTTCAAAACTTATCTGTTGATATTGAGAAGTAAGAAATGAATGTGTCATCAATTTATGCTGTCGTACTTTGCACGCTTTGTTAGTTCCAGTGTCAAACAGTTAATATATATCTTCTTAAATGCATTAGAGTAAATGTTGCCTTCATTTCTTTCATAAGCTGTTCAATATGTTTATATTTATGACGTCATTAATCATCATCAGGTTCTGTTGCCGAGTTAGAGAATGTTGAAAAAGAATATCATTAATAAAGTGCACAAGAAAGTTGGAGAAATTAATTAATATAAACGAGATTAGAATGCAATTATTAAGGTCAATCAAATGATATCAATTTGGGAGTTTTATTTGCATACCTCACGTATTAAAAAGCATTAGTTTTCCAACAAAATTTAAAAATACGATAGTTTTTATGATGTTTATGGTTCGGGTTCACCATGTAAACCTATGTAAAACCCGAAAGGAATCCTCTGGGCTTAATTTCTTGGATATTTGAAGTCGTGAAAAACTGATAGACAAAAGTGTTATGAAAAAAGAAAAGATTGAAGGAGAATGCTTTAAAGCCCAGGGATAAGACCACCCGAGAAGGTCACTGGCAGGTGGCTTTCTCATCAACTCAGCTCTCGAATAACATAAGAAAAAGAGAATCATGGTAGACTATTGGCCACCGATAAGGCATTGTTTTCTATATAGAGGGCGCAAGTAGCTTTAAGTAGTGCAGTGGGGCCTTAAAGATTCTATAAAACTAAATTAAGTCTAATAGCACTTACATTCTGGAGGTAACTGGTGAGCACGTTGGTGGCGACGATGGACGGTGACGACGGACACGCCGGCATGGGGGTATCTCCGGGCAAGACCGAGCTACCGACAACCCCGTCGGCTTCCCTCTTCAATCGATACTTCCTCAGGGCGTGGCCGATGGCGATGGCGGCGTCGTAGGCATTTCGCTCACGGAACGTCCATTCCGTGAATTGCGAGGAGCCGGTGGTCGGAAGGGCGTACTGCCAGTCCCGGGTGTAGTTCATGTTGAAGCGGGTGATGTAGGCGTTGGTGTCTTCAAGGGTCTCCATGAATGTCCGGTCCATGGCTAAATCCTGCAATCGAGAGGAGAGGATTTTGAGTTTTGATGCCAAATTTGACTCTTTCATGTACACACTCAACTTGTTGTCCTTTTGTCGTACTAAATAGCAGGGCCATGTAAAAATGACGCACATGCCTACACCATTCAGTTTTTCAGTCTTTTTACACCAACTTCTACAATCATAAAGCAGCGTCTGAATTTTTAAAAGCTGTCAGTACATATCTTATTATATAATTATTTTTCAGAACTATAAAGTACCAAAGTGTGAAATTATCAAGGTTGCTGGTTCCAAACAATTGTTGCGCTAAAAAATGATGTGGTGATCACATCAGCCCCAAACATTGATTTTGCCCTGCTCTAGCCTATTGTTTGAACCTCATTCGCAGGCTCTGTGGTTTAGAACAAAAAAAGAACGAATAAATTATGACGGTACTCTATTGCATCAGCAAGTTCATCCCGGTCATTTTCGTACGTGAACTAAGAAGTTCAGTCATAAACATTTGTGTTATTCATGTTATTAGGTTTCATGTCCACAATGTCATTTTCAACTTTTGATCTCTCTGGGGTATTGGGAAGAAAATATATTACCTTGGGGTGTTTCACAAAGATCCTTAGTCAAACTTAACTCTAAGTTGGACTTAAATGAGATGGAGAGCCATTTGTAGCCATAAAATAAAATATATTCAAAAGCGAAAATTCAAGTATTTTAAGCTTTTTATAAATTCCACATCAAGAACATGAAATCTCCTTGATAATAGAACATATGAATGATTTGAATCAACATTTTATGCCTTTTAAATAACTTAAAACATATTTTTTCATACATACTAACGGCTTTCCATAATTGCTAAGTCCAACTAAGAGATAAGTTCAACTTGGGATCTTTGTGAAACACCCCCTTGTCTCGTTTTCTACTTACCAAGTTTCCGATCATCCACGTATACTTGGGTCCCATGATGCCAAGATCGATGGCCTGCAAGAGAATATGAATCCGGAATTAATGAACTTCACAAACAAAAGACAGGCGAAAATTAAGATATGGACTTCGAGGTTTAGAGTTTTATGTAAAAAGTCAATCTTGAGTTACCTTTAACTCGACCCGTCATGAAACCTATCATTATGAATCAATGGGCCCTTTTTTCAGTGCTCATCACACCTCATTTGATTCAAACTATATAACGTCTATTTATTTATTGTTTTTTTAATCTTTTGTCAGGGTAGCCCATAGTACATTCAGAAAGATATAACTCAGCAATAATAGACGTGGCACAAACGAATACTCGTTTGCAAAATAATCATATATCAGTAACCTAATTCAACTGTAATGCCAAAAGGAAAAATTCGATTTCGTCGCAATTATGTGAATACCATTTGGTGTAAGTCTGTAAGAAAGCTGGATATGCCAGCTTCAAAATATATAAAATGAACCGAAAACTTATTAAGGATAAAAACTTGTATTAAAGTCGACTCAAATAATGCTTGTGCCCATTTGTGGGTTTGCTGCGAATCTTACCCGGTTAATAGTGGTCCGCAGAACGATCTCCGATGTACAGATGATGAAGATGTTTTTCGTCTTCTCGCCTTCGATCGTGGGGACGTTGTTCTCGAAGTCGTCCTCGTCCAGGACCACGCTGGTCACGTTCCACTCCTGCGATGACGCGTACTCGAGCAAGCCTTCCGTGTTGGCGAAGGCTAGATGGAGTAGAGGGGACCAGGGGATAAATTTAAGGTATGTACATTGATTTAGTTTTACAATCTGCTACCATGTACTCATACGGGATAGGTGTAGTGCTCAACTTGAAGGCCTCCGCTCTGTACTAGATCTACATGTACCATGAATGGTCGATCTAGCCAAACTAAAAGCTTTGTTGTTGAAAACTGAAAGTAAATCTCAAGGTGGGGGGGGGGGGGGGGGGGAGGGGGAGGGGTCGGTTTCTAGTTTTTCCCCTTCTCTCTCTGTATCTCTCTCTCTCTTTCTTATTTACCCACTCTCTCCGCCCACTCCTCTCTTCTTCTGACTTTTTCACCCACTCTTTCTTACTCTCTCTCACTCTCTCTCTCTCTCTCTCTGTTCTGTTCCCCTCTCTTTCACCTTTTTTTCCTCTCTCTCTCTCTCACCCCCTCTCTTTCTTTTCTCTCTCTTTCTCTCTACACTCTCATCTCACCCCCCCCCCCCCCCAAAAAAAAAAAAAAAAAAAAAAAATCGCTCGCCTGGAACTCTCCTTCTAACATCGCTGAAACAAATGCATTTTCTTTAACAAAAAAAATGATAAACTGAATTCTTACCGCTTTCATCGTCGTACAACATAATGAAACTCCTCCACGCGAAATAGGACATAACATCGATGTAGAACTCGGTCATGTCTTCGGGGGTCGGGTAGAGCTTGAAGGCTTTGGACCCGGACCCGTAGTTACCCTGGTCGATGGAGAAGACCGGGTTGGAACCGTGGCTGACCACGCCGGCGATGTCGTCGTGGTCTGGACATCGGTCAGCCGGCAGGATCAGGGCCGAGATCTGCTCCGTCGCGATGTGCTGACAGACTACACAAGGGAAAGATAGAAATCGAGGTTCATATAAATGTTTGTAGCCTAATAAGTTGGAAGATTGACCGATAACATTATTACACTGAAAGTCCAATTTCTGATAAATAAAACTGGCAGTGATTATTCAGAGACAATGACTCACGAATGGAGACATATAGTAATACATAGTATAGGTTGGGGGTGCAAAAATACAAATTGGCGGCATAATGTTGTCTTCGTGTAAATTTATTCAACTTCAATTTAATTTCATTTATTGAAATGGAATCCACAATTTTTGATTATTTTCAATACAAAAGAAAATACAACACACACGCAAACACACAAACATATATATATATATATATATATATATATATATATATATATATATATATGTATATATATACCGAAATAGCGGGATACAAAGTAATCACTGAAAATGGATCAGGAATACATACAGTATTGCCTAGCCTACTCAATAGTATAGGCCTAAGCATGATTGGATTTTAAAAGGGGGGTACAGACCGGTCTCCCACCCCCGCACGACGCCCCCCCCCCCGCCCCACCTCACCCCCTAAAGGAATCTGTCGGTGCCCATGAGACCTACCATCCTGTAACCCCAGGTATGTTGAGTTGCTGGGTATGATATTGTCGTGGTCGACGAACTCCAGTGTGTGGATACCACCCAGGAATGTCTGGTTTCGATTCACGTAAAGAACGCCGTCGTTGATCACGGTCCGGTACTTGTTGCCGTAACCGGTATCCGGTCCGAACATAGCACCTTTGAGAAAAAGAAATTAAAAATGAAGTAGAAAGAGTGTTATTATCGTAGTTAATATCAATGCCATAATTTCATTGAGCCAAATATCTTCAACACGAAAAATCAACTCAAGGGCAACTTCAATACCTGATTGTATTCTCTAGAAACCATGTTTGGATGATGTAATACGTCATTGTTTAAGGGTGATGAACAGTGCATGCTCTTGAAATTCGCTTCAAATGAGTTTTCGAAAGTCGTTGCAATCGTGTTGTTCATAACAATGCAAAGGAACATTTGGATCGAATGATAGCGACGACTGAACTGCTATAGAGAGATAGAGAGGGGAGGGATAGGAGAGAGAGAGAGAGGGAGAGTGGGATATACCCGATATGATATACTATGTCAGACTCCCCATTTTTATGGATACCAACAGAAAGTCAAGAAAAGTAGTGTAGCCCTTTGTACATTGTGATGACGGTTAAATGTAGCATTTCATTGCGAGTATAGTGAACGACAAAGAACTGAATTCAAGAAATTATCATCAGTTTGGAATAATATAATAATAATACTAGTTTGGAATAACTGGAAAGCGTGATGGTACATGTAAAATTGTTATATCATACGAATGAATGGTTTATATTTATAAACTCTTAAAGCAATTAAGACAAACATTAACGTAGTTAGATTGCAATGAAATCGACATCTACATTTCAAATCTATTCCTATTAATCTTAGCCTATCTATATTATATCTGACAAGGTAAATAGTGTGTAAAGCGTCACTACAGTATATAGAAGGCTCTTTTAATATCTATTTTAATATTCCCCTATAGAAGTTTAAAGAATTCGTAACAGTCCGAAGAATGAGCCTATCCGAATTTCCGGATCCGTTGAGAAAATAAATTAATCCGTACTGAACATAAGTAAAGCAAACAGGCGTGTAACAACCATACGACACATTGCAACGCTGTTTTATGTTTGAGATTGTGAAGGATATCGTATGTCACGTGATCGAGCGCATTAGCCAATCAAGAGAGCGTACTTTTGGGAGGTCAGTCAGAGCTGTAATACTAATAGTAGCTGCCCGTGGCGACGACTTTATTGCCGCAACTAGACGATGGATTAATACAGTTTCTCATGTAAACTCTAATTTCTAAACCATCGATATTTAAAAGACTTATATCGTTTATCATACAAATTTAGACATTAAAATGTCGTAATACTGTATTATGTGTTCGTAGAGAGGAGGGAGGAGAATGAGAGAATGAGAGAGAAAGAGAGAGAGAGAGAGAGAGAGAGAGAGAGAGAGAGAGAGAGAGAGAGAGAGAGAGAAACCCAGAGAATAGTAACAAAAAATATTAAAAAAATATCGGAAGACTGGAAATAAGATAACAAAAAAGGCAATACCGAATATACGAATCTGCTTTTTTGTGGCCTTTCAATCGTTTATTTTTAATGTTGATTTTTATTACTTAGGAACCGAACTATTTGCATGGTAAACCGACCTTTTGACATCCTACATTGTTTATCTAGTAGCAAAAATCAAACGATTTCAGACAGGGAGAGAAATGCTTTTTGTATACATGTTGCAATTCAACGTTCATGACTACTGATGCATTAGGGTTAGCCGTGGGGTAATCGGGTGAAGTTTCGGCCAAATCTACACGTACCATATATAACAAATGATGGAAGAGCGGCTAACAGACGAGATATTTACAGACGGCTGACTCGTAAGACTTCAAAACAAGAATCGAACCATACGAAAGGGGCCTTTTGCTTAAAGTTATTTCTTTTGAAATATATCACCACAGAGTTCCTTTTCTTTTTAACTATATGTTCTTAATGTGCAACCATTAACCCAAATTAGATCCTTCCATTCCTTAGCTTGAGTAAATTTAAACTTCATGAGGGCAATATAATCAGCGACCAAAGTGAACATCATTTCTTGAATTGTCATGGTTTGTTGTTGTCGACGTTAGTGTTTTGCAGTCTTTATACATAAACTATTCTTCCACTGTCATATTACGCGCAGATAAACCTAATACTTAATACAAATTTAATTTTGTTGTTGATACCGTTGTTTGTTGTTTCATTTTTTTAATCCGCCAATCATTAGTACTGCAATCTCTTTCAATCTTGTTAAAAAATTTACTAGGACGACACAAAATCATGTTTACCATATTTTGTCCATGTTTTATTGGCATGTGTATGCTTCTAGGCCTAGAAACAAAGCCTATTTTCAAATAAATATTATTCATCATGTCATCATATTGGACAGATATCTGCTGAAGAAATAAAATAAATTTATCTGTCCTTCGGGCTGGAAATACCAGGGTACATTTAACCCAGTTGAAAATCATGGATCTGGCATGTTTTCCGAGCAAAAATATTCACATTTGGGGGTCTATCCTGCCGAAAGCGTTAACACAATTCAGGCTACTCCAATAATGTTGTGTTCTTCTCCTATTTCGTAGATTTTCCTGCTTTTTCTTCTTTGAACTTCTTTAAACTTGAGTTAACCTCTCGTTTAATATACGTCAATCATCAGCTCTGGTGAATTATTGCTCGCAACGGAACATGTCGCGAACACATGCATTTTCTTTGTGATTTATCGTCATTGTATTCAGAAGTTCAAGATACAAAACTTAGCAATTTTAGCAATGAAGTAAATGATTTCGCTTGATTTCCTTCATTTTTCGGGTCATTTGATATCTTTGAGTACATGTAATATAAATTCTATTTTCTTTCCTCTAAAATTCCTCCATTTATTAAATGCACCTACTTTAAACAAATAGACCTTCAAAAAACGTGTCCAAGTTATTTTACATATAGATCTCAAATAGGGTTTGTAATATTGAGAAACTATTGAAAAGTTACATGATTTCTGATGATAACGACTGTATCAAAATATTTTTAAAAAATTCTAACCAATAAAAAATAACCAAACTTACTCTGAATATGCAAAGCTATATCTACTTAAGAAAAACTAATTAATTTGATAAATACCTAATAACAAAATTAATGGGAAATAGAGTAAGAAGTAAAAAGGGATGATGAAATCTGCTCAACTTCTGGAAGACTGTCATGTAAGAAAATAAAATCATAATTGGAGCCACAATCATGAACCCTAAACAATAAATTGTTGAATTTCACGAGTTACCCTATTATATTGCAGATATTATTTTAAATGGATCTTCACAGAATGTAACCAAAAAGACTCATTACAAGGCTTTTAAACTGATAAGATTTTCTAGTATATTTTCTAGTAGGAAACATGACAGCAATTTGAGATTCCACATTGTAATAAAGATTGGATACTCGCAGTCTACAACTCTACATTATCTTTAAAAGAAAGGTGTGTCTTAATTCATTTCATGATCGTATCTCGGCATACCATTTCCAATTGTAAACGAAAATTGATACAATTTTGCGCAGAGAGAAAAGACCAAACCAAATACATTCAATCGCATGAGGTCAATAGAAATTCAATTGAGGTCAGTAAAGGAAACCCGCATTTGAAAACTATGGTAGCTCTGAAGAGGTGACGTCACAAGGTCATATAAGGAAAAAAGAGGTCGTTTTGATTAAATTTATCACAACAGAATGAAAACTGACATTTGACTTGAAGTTTTTGGGCCAAGCACTTTATTTTTCTAGTAATGATTGTGTGTGGCATGATATCAAGTTTCAGTATTTTTGAAATATTTCGTTTCAAAGAGAAAAACAAATTGTACGACCCTCGGTTTATAAGAAGCTTTAGGTGGTAGCCGATATATTTGACTTAAGAATAATAATATGGTGCTGTGAATGAAAGAGGATAACGGCCTACCAAATGGAATTGAGTTAAACGCTACAATAGTAAGCTTATATTCTTGCAGATCGATCTAACACAGTTTCATAGTATTTTTATAATTTCCCTTCATTTTGGCGACAATGATGATAATGATAACATAAAAAAATCTACTATACTACTACTGCTGCTGCTACAATACTTTTGTTCATTTGTGGGTTTCTGCGAATCTTGACAACACCAGCAGCAACATCAACAGCAGCACCGGCTGTTTCCTTATTTTTCGAACAAGGTCAGTGACGTTATGTTTCAGCAGAAAATGAAAGAAATGTTTTCAATTAATATGCAAGACTACTAATGCAGTATGGCATATGCATGAGCATATTCTACACAATACACTACATACAATCACCCTGTCTAATCAATCAAAATAACGAACTATAGGTATATCTATCTTTCAATCGTCTCATGCGGTTAATAATACATTGCCAAAACAGAATTCATGAATAGCTTTACATCGAAATATCGAAGTAAACAAAAGTATTGATATATATGTATGTGGCATTGTCTGATGTTTGTTTTCTAAATTCTGATCTGATCTCATTCTGCCATGCCATTGAACTTACAAAATGTTTATTCCTACCCCCCCTCTCTCTCTCTCTCTCTCTCTCCATCCCTCCCCACCCTCCGTGCTCTACCTGTTTGTCTGTCTCTGTCCCTTTATCTATGTATTCTCTCTGTTTATAGATATCTATATCTATCTCTCTATCTATCTATCTATATATCGATCGATCTATCTATCTATCTGTCTATCTATTCTTCTCTGCCACTCTTTCTCCTTCCCACACACTCTCTCTCTCTCTCTCTCTCTCTCTCTCTCTCTCTCTCTCTCTCTCTCTCTCAATATATCTCTCTCTTTCTGTACTTCTCCTTTGAAATGATGATATGATAAATAAATAAAATAAATAAGATGAGAGTGACAATGGATGAGTGCGGGGTGGACACAAGTTCATTGCCGGTTGTTGTTTGCGGTAAAATTTATCAGGCGTAGCCATTACCCCAATTTTGACCCAGTCGAACAAAAGCCGCCCATTCTTCACTCAAGTGGGTGCAAACTTGCACCTCTTGGTACCCCCTCCAAAGATCGAGTACGTCACCCATTAAAAAAAAAAGAGACAATCGGTTTTAGTCTAGCAAGTTTTTTGTTGGGTTTCCTTCCCTATTGTTTTGAAGTTGAATGCCATCCCCGGTTAAATTTGCTGAAGACACGCACAGCACGCGGGACGACAACTTTAGAAAAATGTCAAAAGGAAATTCCAGCGGGTTATTGTATTTATCAGAGATCACATTACAATAAGCTAATTGATTAACGCTCATTTAGCTTTAAACTCTTTTGATGTTACATGTTTAAAGTGTGCAATAAAGCTTAAGTTTCCATTGTGACCATACCATGTAGCATGATTTTCATTAATAACATTTTCGACATCTTTAATCATTGTCATCATAATCAATTAATCATCATCACCGTCATCATCATCATCATTATAATAAACATCATAGGCCATTATCACGATCATGATTGTTGTCATCACCACCATCAATTCTGATATATCGAAATTGAACTTTGGAAAGTGCACTTGACCCAATACACTTTGCGTCATGTAGTTTTTTGTTTTTTGTAACTGGTGGCAAATTATGTGAGTAAAGAAATATGACTCGAAGATATCGTTGACCTTCATCATATCCAAGAGTATAATGAAGGTGTTTTTCAGATGTTATCACCTTTGATTTATCGACCACTACGCTGGACATAAAACATATATTGTCAACGTTTTTAGTGTTTCTGCAAAATCATACTGGTCCCCTCTTCCTACTACTTACTACTTCTCCTCCTCTTCCTCCTCCTCCTTTTCATCCTCTCTTACTCGTCCTCTTTCCCCTCCTATTCTCTACTTCCCATCACCAGCATCATCAGGATCACAACCGTCACCATCGTCATCCTTACCATGGTTAACTTTTCAGTTTGAAACCTTGAAAAAGACACCCTTAAAGGTACTATGTCCCTTTTGCAGCCAACCTCAAATGCTGTAGAACTTTGCAGGAATTATGAATATGTCATGTATGTCCTATCTGTGAAATTTAAACTTTAGCAGTGTCCTCATATTCAAATTATGCAAGGAAACCTGTTTACTTGCTAGACTTCACTGTCAGACACTATTGAGTGACTGACGGCTTTTTTTTCTTCTTTGGTAATAACATACATGAAAAGAGTTGTAAAGGGTACATGAGCATTTGTCTACATCAATAACCCACTTCTTGTGATGGCCAAGATTAAACTGATTGAATCTTTGCGCAGCATAAAACGTATGACCATTCGGTACAATAGTCTGAAAATCAAGACTATTACTTTTGGGCTCTATAGCCCTAAAGTCGATTTGACAACTAATAGTCTTTATTTTCCCACTTGAAGACATTTTCAAGCCCCACCTTTTTTAGGGAAGTTCTAAATTAGTATTATCTTTCAAATGCAGTTGGAATTTAACTTTTTCATTTTTTTGGCCTGCAAATGGGACATAGTACCTTTAAAAAACACCTTCACGTTATTTAATTCTCCTTTTGAATTGGTGCCAAATGATACGTACAAGTATGAAATCAATTAGACCTGAATATCGTTGACCTTCATATTTCCAAGGACATAATGGAAGGTGTTTTCAGATGTCATCAGCTATTGTGATTCATAGACCATTACACTGGAAATAAAACATAATTTTGAGTTGTATGTCAACGTCCAGCAAGATTTTGCACAATAAATTGTCAGGTCTTGACAGGCCGCTACTTTCCCATGTTCAGTTACAAAATGATAAGGGATTTCTAATAAACAACAACAGCTCTGAGATCAAACGTCTGTTCGGAGAAAAAGATATATATATATATATATCACTGCATTTCATAGCTTGAAACAAATTAATCATCTCTGGAATTATATGAAAAACATAATTATGCGTCATTTATATAGGGATGAGTGGTATGAAGGCGAATTAATAATCATCAAAATTACCCAAAACAAAACAAAGTGTCTCCTGCAATATCATAGGGGACTCTCTCTCTCTCTCTCTCTCTCTCTTTGCTTCACTTTCTCTTTCCGCCGCTCCTTGCTTTACGTGCTCCATTATTCCTGTTATCTTTAAATAAGTTTTTATTTGTTCTCTTTCTCTTTATAATGGTTCATGTACTCTACACTCTCTTTTTTCTCAAGTTTTATACTACCAGATATTTTTGAGCAATAACTCTGCGTGTTTTTGACCTGCCAGATTATATACGTTTCCCCAGCAGATTCGAAGTTTTCTGGAGTATCATAGCTGAGCCCAAATGGTACCCGTGAGGTTTAAAACGTGACAGTCGAAAAGAGAGTTTCTGACGCATTGCTAACAAATGTTCATTTGTCATCTGATGGTTTTGAACTTTAAGAGCATATCAATGGCTCTTTTGACTTTTAGCAGTTTAGTGAAGTTTTGAAAGGTGATCCCCTGTGAAGTGACTGGGGAAGGAAGTGTTTCGTGTTACTTCTCCAAAGGAGCATTCAGGTTTGTTTTTCGATATCCTTTGGTTCATGTTCCGACAAAACTGTGTGAAATAATCGTTTCCGATTTAATTGTGTTTCGCTGCAATTGTAATTCAGCTACTTGTCGTAGTGTACATTCTCTCTGTATGATATGTAGATATTTCCATAATAAGAACACGCACTTGAAGAAACTTTTGACCCCCCCCCCCGAAAAAAAACAACAACAACAAAAACAGAACAAAACCTACGTGTACCTTTATTCGGTTGCATTGTAAGAACTAATCCAAACCCTACACAACCAAATGTCCTAATCGCAAGAGAATGGGTAGTCATAATCCTTGACTTCTTAGCGCACATTCGTATCAGCGACGTCAGACCAAATAACAAAGGCCACTTTTCATCCTACTTCCACTACGTTCATTGACATTATTGTCGACCCATCCTACTATTAGGTACTCAACCGCCAAAAATGTCCAGAAAGTACACGATCTTTGTCATACTGATCGGAGGTTATTGAAGATGATTTCTTCGCTCGGCTTTCGAGTCAGGTTCGGTGGCGCCGGCCATTCATATCATGGGATCTCCGATTCCAAAGCGAAACTCCTGGATACGTATTTACTCCACCTTACGAAAAGTGCATTTGCCAATGTTTCGACTGTGCCTTCTCTTCTCCTCTTCCATTAGTTCTTACAGCCAAAAAAGATTATGGAAGACATACTTGTTTATAGCCTAAAGCTAAGTAAGCCAAAATGATATAGAGTTGTGTATAGAGCTGATCCCGCCCTTTTTTTAATGTGCGCTCAATATTTGGATAACGAAACATCAAAATGAAAAATTAATAATTGACTTGGCTAATGGTTGTAGAAAATATTATTTTAATTAAGGCATAATGATGTACCTTCTCGGAAACTAACGCATCAAAGTGGATGACTAATTGGTCATGTGACGTCATCAACTATACCCCCCCCCCCCCCCCCCCCCATGCAATCACTCCGGACGACCGCGCACGATCGCGCACGATCGTGCTGTCAATCGTACGACATTATTGCATATTAAATTTTCGAAATAAAATAAATAACATTTTGGGTGTACTTACTTATTCCCACGTTTGCTGCATCGCAAGCCAAAGACCCAAGCCAGATGACGACCAGAACCTGGACCAGTCCTGGTATTCGTGATGGAGCCTCCTCGCCTCTCCTTCTCCGCCTTTCGGCCATTTTTGCCCCCCTCTCGCTCACCAAAAGATCCCACAAAACTGGTATCCAATCTGTTCTACTTCACCCCTCCCGAGTCCAGATCTCACCACTTCCCCCAAAATGAAAAGTCGCAAAATCTATCCACTTTTCGAGTCTCTTTGCTCTCAATAAAGCCGTCACAATATCACATGAGTGTCGTTTTCATGCGATTTATCAGCGTTCTAATGTCGCCTCTCTGGAAAAAGCATCCAAAAGTACGGGGAAAAGAATCTCAGAGCGCGGTTCCGCCGATACGAATAACACCACTCCAATGCGTTACGCCTGCCTCCGATCCGATTTCGTTTCGCGTAGGTTTTCTGTTCGAGCTTTACCCATTCAAGTGTAACTTCGTAGTCTCGCTTTTCAGCTAGTATTTTGTTGTTGCTAAGCTATCTTTTCACTGATTTTTATCTATAAAATTCGTGAAATATTGTTCTCCTTGTAAGGACATAGATCTTATGTGTCTGTTTAATATCGCAAAAAGGGGTTACCAGTTTCAATTTGGTGAACGCTTTTGACAGGCAGGAAATTGGGCAGAGCTGAATTTGATGGAAAGGGAACAGCACCTCTATTGCTCTACCGTTTGCCTCCGTTGGGCAAATCACTCATTTATTTGATTTCTTTCAGGAAGATTCTATATTTAAGTCCAAAGAATCATTATTTCTTTTTAATGATACTTAACACCCATTTGATGAAATCCCTGTGAGATATGTTGTACATATCTAAAAAAAAAAGATGGATTTAAAGCTTTTGAAATGGGCTTATGAAAACATGCGATTGGACAAAAATATAGTCCCGCGGAATAATTTGACTTTGATTAAAAGGCTTTTAGCTATCAGCTGATGGACACGGCCAGCTGAATATTTGAAGCGGGATTATTAAGGGTCAGCGAGTTCGGAGGGAACATTATTTGGTTTTATTTTGTCTCCTTGGTGTTTTTCTTCATCGTATCCCTCTTGTAGATTAATGCACGAAAGTGACGACATTTTTGTTTAATGATCGTCAGAGGAACCGTGTCTTTTTTGTTTTAATGTCATTTCGTTTTATATTTTTTTGACTAATGTATGTGCTATATGCGGTCTGAAATTTGTTATCCCTTCTCAGGAAGTTTGGATTTTTCCAATGACATCATTTTGAATTGATCTGGTCATACATGTAAATCTTAAGGTGAAAAGAAAAAACAAGGATAGGTTGAATAAAGAGACAGAGAGCGACGGACTGATGCAGAAAAAAGGAAGAAGAGAGAAGTGTGTGTGTGTGTGTGTGTGTGTGTGGGGGGGGGGGGTGAGAAACATCAAAGAAAGGGTATGATGATGATGATAATGATGATGGTCCGGGGGGGGGGGTGGTTGGTGCATTATGCAACACATTTTATTTGGGGTTGTCATCTCGTTATTTTCTCCCTCGTTTTCATAACTGATTATCATTTAATATACAAATTACAAGCTTTGGAATTTTACGGATGACCTCGTCCACAAGGAGGGGATTATGGGGGATTCAACAGATAGATCTGTCATTTCTCTCTTCTTCTCCCTTCTTTCTTCAATGATGACCTTATTCTTGTGTGACCCTGTGTTAAGAGACACATGGCATTTTCCTTTTTTCATTCACATCAGATAAAGTTAGATTATGATTCTACCGCCTTTTTTGATAACGGCTGAAATGGCGTCCACCATGTCCGGTGTACACACGACAGATGTGATTTTGTGTATATGTAATAGTCGCGAGATGCTGCTTTTATGAATGTAGTGGGGAATAAAACCTTATATAGCAGCTTTCATTTTAAAAACTCCTGAGTAGTGAAAAATGAGTAACGTGAATTAATTAACATAGAACTGGTATTCTTCGAGCTTAGCCTTGTATTTCGAGTGTTTATGTAAAGTCATACCTCAACAAAATAATGTGTAAGCTTACATAATTTGAGTATATCGCTTTGGCAATATTGTTTGCATACGTTTATAAGCTTTTCTAAGGTCTCACTTTCTTTCATTTGGATTATATATCGACTTAAAATTGCACTTAAATTGTTTTTTTCTTATGCTGTTTTTTTGTTCTATTATTATATGTAAAAATGTTGTGAAAGAAAGAAATAAAATGAACCTTGAACCTTGAACCTTGAACTTGCTTTCATGTGGATATAATAACAAAATATGTCCATTTTAACGCAGCAACATAATATACTATATGAATATACTCAATGCGTAGTAATGTGAAACGTTCCCTTTAATTATCCCTTTAAAGTTTCACATTATTACCCTGGCTGTAGCAATAATGAGTAGCCATGATTAGGCGATAAATGTGAAATTTATATCCTAAAAGTCAATAAGCACTTAATTCATGTTGAACAAATAACGCCTTTGATAATAACTTCGTTATCTTCGTCTACTTCTCCCCACATACACGTACCACTTAGTACCATACTGCTGCTTCATCAAGCATAAGCATACATAATTTGCTTCTTAATTCATTCAGTATAATAACACAAAGATCTACGAATCACACCTTCATTTGAATTTATATCTACGCTTCTAAAAACATAGTCCCTCTCTTTCGCAACAAACCGCTTTTTTTCTTCAAATTTCATTGTTCACGCCGAAAAACGGCTAAGGTTATCGTTAGAAGTACGCGGAACAAAAATATAGTTCCCTTTTTGGGTTGGGAATTAGAAATTGCATGCTTGGCTGGTATTAACACAATACAAGCTGAATTTATGTATGTGCTGAAGTCAGTGCGGATCTGCAATACATGTACAAATAACAGTACACGTATGAGAAGATGAATTGTGGATTCACTACATTATAAACACAGGACTGTGTGGATTTAGAACATGTTTTGCTATATATTGACATAAAATATATGATAACAATGTGAGATAATAATGTAGAGACCTGAAAAGACTTCTAAGTAGGCCTACAACACTTTCTAAAATAACTTTCAGGCTGAACTTTAAAAATGGTATTTACAAGAAAAGAAAAATCTTAAACCCCGTAATTGCATTACTATGCCATATAACGCCACCCCCTTTTCATCCGGCTGTCTACCTAATATACAAGTCGTACAGCATGATGTACAGATTTCTTCTGAATTTATAAGCGTATATATTGTGTGCGTATATTATGTGTGTGTGTAATGTATGCGAGGAGCAAAAGTGTACCACAAGTTTCAAATAAGAACAACATCACATAATTGTGCACACAATAATTGCACAACGTATAATTGTCATATTCCTTATGCTGTGGATACCATTTTCACACAAACAAACAATAACAGGACTATAATTTCATCGTCATATTTTACTACAATTTATTTAGAAAAAAAGTGAAATAGTTTATACATTCTTGAGTGTAAATGCGTTACAGTATTTACTAAGAAAATTCACAAAATTTGAATATCATTACCATCAGTAAAAGCGTAGAACTGACTACACATGTATCTGTTATCCTATTCAATCATTAAAATGAATATTCCTCGAGACTAATGCTATAATCTATGATAGGAATACATACAAATTTCATTCGTATTTCAGTGAAAAAAATAGTAACTGAATAACAATGAAATGTTTCACGAGGGGCAGTCAGGAACGAAGATTGCGATAAAGATAGGACTTCAACTTGCCCGACATTAGTTCTTACTTTGCGATAGACAAAACACATTGATGTTTCGCCTGTCCCATTACGAAGGGGCAAGTGCAATTTTGTTTAATTATTCGGGAGCCACAGGGCAAGCAGTGAGAAGGCCTACATAATATGTAAAGTTCGTGATTTTAATTACAATACCATCAATCTTCTTACTTCGTCAATTGGTCTTCTATTTCATGATATCCTCAATTAGAATAAGAATCTGAATACAGTTTGTTATATTATTTCTTAAATGCACAAGGCCATTACATACATCTGATCAAGGCTAACAATCACTCCTTTAGAGCTTAGAGCAGGCCGAACCAAACACATTCGGTGTCATTTCGGTTAAGAACATCACAGTTCTTGCAAACGTACAAGTATGGGACACCAAATAACCAAAAACCTAGGAACTGCCCAAATATATTTAGGTCACAGGCGGCATTACATGTATTGTCTTATTCAAGATTTGCAGTTCTATTTCTTTTAAACCAATCAACAGGGAAATCTGAAATTGATAATCAAGAACTCGGCTTCTACATTTAAATGAAAGAAACAGTTCTATGCTTTACTAATTCTAATTATTTTATACATTTATAAAATGGGGAGACTAGTACATCTTGGATTTAGCTAAAAATATAGTCTGTTTTCATATACAAAAAGCGACTGGTGTATATCAATTGAAATATAAATCGTTCAACCGTAATATACATATGAAATGTTCAATCTATCTGAACAGTATATCTACATAGTTTTCTAGCATACACAAAAACAGAAGGAACATTCACACGAGAATGTTAAACGCCATTTAGGATGCAGTTCCAGAGGCACATAACTTGAACTAAACACACATTCATGTACCGACATTAAGTGACAATGGTCCCGTTCACAATGGTTAAACTTAAAATCGTATGAATTTCCCTACATTCTGAATAAGTATACACACACATTCGTCGAAAAATTCTCATAAAAACTGTTCAGACATCTTCCAAACTATTTACATCCTCTGAAAAACGCAGACTAGCTTATCTTATTACTTTACTAGAAAGATAATAAAAACTTACATAAAACGAAGCTTAGCAAAGTATATAATTTCTCTTCATTTCCCCCCACACTTTTCTGACTGAAGACAGTCCAGTAATTAAAAAAAATCCTACACAATATATATTCAATATATCCACATCGTAACTAACAACACAGTCAATCAGGCTCGATCTCTTTTCACAGACTAACTTAAGAAAGATTTGCATTTGTTTGCACAAAGATAAAGCAGAAGACGTGCCCGAAAACAAAAGCAACAACAGAACACCACGGAAACGGAGAGAGCAAGAAAAAAAAGTTCCTTTTGCCTGAATCGGAAAGTTATGCCCACTACATACGAGACGTCATTTGATAACGTACTACTGCCTCAGCAATTGGCGCAGTCTTTGACGTACCATGACGGATGTACACAAAGTAAACGCAAAATAAACTATGCACATATTACCTTGAATTACTGGCGCATACGCTAATTACCTTTCACGGGCTGGATTAGAGCGGGTAATAACGCATTCAAAATGACGCAACGTATGCAACGGGCGCTGCATGAATTCATTTATAATTGGCAGTTTTTTGGCACAAAGAATATATGCCTCTTGTACAGCCGGGAGAAATCATCATCTTTAAAATATTGATTAAATGGTCAATATGGTGGTTATCCCATACAAAGGACAATGAAGCAGCTTTAAGTTCGTTTTTAAAAAGTGAATCAGCAGAATGCAAATTAAAAATCCTTTTTCTTCAATACCTTTTAACTATTACGAATACACCTTAAACTGTGCGGCGATATTATGCAAACAAATGCAAATATAGTTCAATGTTGTATTAGTACTGCTGAAAAGTATACCACACAAATAGGACGAAATAATCACAATGTCCTTAAATACAAAGTTTGGTATCAATCTCCTAAATTGCGTACCACAATCACTGTAATTTCCTTAAACAGCACTTCACATAGACGCCAAAAGAAAAGCGAACAGTTGAAAAAAATACTTATAATTAATTATGGCGATACATCATACGGAAATTCAAAGATAAATGCGTCGAATCTTATGTCCAGCAATACATTTCAACGCTTATGACATTACCAAAATACTCGATTTTGAGGAGAATCATTCACATGTGTTCACATCCTTTGACTAATTTGATGTTTTCTCGAATTTCTTTGTGTACTGCCTGCCTGATCAAGGAGCCTTTACAAACCCCCAAGTCCAAAGAACTTGCAGAGTACGTAAATCAGAGTCAATTACTTACACAAGAAAAGGGGGAAAGGGTATCATTAAAAATAATGGAATGACAATGAGTGGACGAACATATTTGGTGCAGTTAAACGTTTAGTTCTTATAGCCGTTTAAATTCACCCAACCTGCTTTACATTCTTTCTTTTAAAGGCTTCTCAGCATTTTCTTAGCACCAATCACTGCAAAGATCATAACCTTCCCACCAAATCTCGACTTGATTCGTATAGGCACGAGAGTTAATGTGCTTGGGTAATAAAAAGTACCTGATTTTCGGCGGAGAGGGTGTCATCAGGCTAGTTCCTGACGTGCTCGGCCATGAACTGGATTAGAGTCTTGTTTGGTGGTTCATTCACTATATCCACATTTTCTCTTTGCCGTCGCTCTTACCTCCCCCTCCACCAATCGGTTGTCCTCCACCAATTGGTCCACCGCCACCGCCTGACATAGGAGGCGGCGGGTTCCTTGAGACTCCTCCTCTGCTCTTATTGCGGGTACCCTTACTTTTACCTCCGAAAGCAGCGAAGAAGATGACCTCCAGGAGGAAGACGATGAACGCGACCAAGAAACCGAGCAGCAGCATGAAGTACACACCTTGGAGATCGTTGACGGTAAAGGAGAAGACTCCCTGTCGTTCCCATGTCGTCAAGTTGTTACAGCGGTATCTGTTATTGATCTCTGATTCCCTCTCCCACCATTCCCGTTGCAGGTCTTCAAGGACGCCGGAGTCTCGTAGGGTCTCGATGGCGTACGAGAGTTGGTCACGGAGAGGCGAGTCGGTCTGCACGGCTAGGGCATAAGTGGTGCGGTCTATGTAACCACCACTGACCATCAGGTTACATGGGCGCTTGCTTGCAATGTAGTCGAGCTCTCCTGCTTCTCCCAAGAAAGCGAAGAACCCGTTGCTGTTTCGTACACGTTCGACTCCTTCAGTTGTGTTCTTGACAAAAGCCGATGGTTGGGCCGAATACATGCGTTGCCATATGCGATTGTACTCCGGGATGGATGACTTGTAGAGGTACCAGTAGATGGATCCTTCATCCACAGTTCCAAAGACGACATCATCTTGGTCTAGGAGGTCTCCAGCATCTTTGACGTGCACCAGACGCTTGTTGGAATTGATGAAGAAGGTCAGGTTGAAGAGGTAGAGGAAAACCATGACGAGGATGAAGACCCACCAAAAGGCTGTCAGGGTTCGACCGGCGTTGGAGCGCGGGGAGTTGTCGTAGCTCTGCAAGAACATGGTGGTGGTACAGAACCAGAGGGAGTTCTTCAAGTTGAAGTTCTTGCCGTTCTCCTCGAAGGTCTCCCCGCGCTCGGCGGCAGCCTGCCATTCGTAAGGGTCGAAGTAGTTGAAGAGAAAGAGAAGTAGAGCCACCAGCAGGAAGACGATGAGGTTGATGAACCACACCTCGATTCCAAAGGGGTACGTGAGACGGAAGATGTAATGTTGTACAAAGTAGGGGTTCTGGAGGAGGAGCTTGACACCGCCACTCATGAATGAAAAAGTGAAGTCGACGTGCCTTTCCCGCTCCTCGGTCACAGTCAGCGGTCCGGCTGCGATGTCAGCTTTCTGTGAATCAAATTAATAAGATAAATTAAAAATGTTAGCATTGTAATAGAAGCGGTAAGAAGCTGGCAAGCCAATTGTCTCTGTTTTTTAAGTATTTATATCACAGAGACTTGGAAAGCAAACATGGTCACAGCAGTGGTACCCGTGTCAATTATCTACTGTCAACACAACCTTCTTGTTTTTAATACAAAGAATCAAATTCATTAAACAAAATATTTCAGCATATCTTGAAAGAATTTAAAGATAACCGTTCTTATTTACATTTCATCCTTTTCTTCTTTTTTTTAAAGATAAATTGTATTCAATCATTCTTGAGCAAGAACAACTTTGCATTTTATAATAATATATAGACCTACATTGTTAACCATCTGGGAAACCAAACAGAAATTATTTTTTTGTTCAAACGAACTTCACTATTGTGAAGAGAGCTTTTGGAAGTCTAAAATATATTGATGGGTAAACGAGCAATCCCCAAAACAAGTGTGAAATACAATCATTCAAAGTTTCAAAATAGTTTCTTACCCTTCGTACAACCTCGCCGATCATGCCATCCCACTCTTCGCTGAACACGTCCTTGTTGCCGTACTTGTTGTCGGGTACCAGCTCGACCTCGTAATCGAAGTCGATGCCGCGCATGTTGGACTTGATCCTGGCTAGAAGGTCCATGATGTAGCCCTCGTAACGGTCATTGCCAGTGTAGGTTGAACTCTGACGAAGGTTGTACTGGTTAAGTTCCTGGGCACGCTTCTCGCGGAGGAACAGGAACGGTTCCGCCTGAGAACGATCAGAATACAAACACAAAAGTATTTAATTGCCATGACACTTTCAACACATTCCTTTAAATTGTATTTTAATATCACAATTGCCAATGGATTTTCCTTTTTGATTCCCCTCGATGATCGAATCAAAATTATAATTACTCATTCCATTCAATGTTTCGAAATTGTATGACCATATGAAATAAACTCATTTTTGTAGCTTTTCACTATATGCGGATATTAGCAACTTGTACTTCTGTTGCCATTATGTTAATTTCAACAACCCCTTCAAAATTCATACCCATTTCATGATGAACTATTTTGGACCATTTTGATCCATTTTATGGACAGATTTCTTTTAGATTACAATGTTTTTATCAGTACTGGAGATGGTACGTGACAACAACACAAATATTGAGTAAAGTAAATATTCCCTTAATTAATTTCTGAAAAATACTTCTGAAAACAATAATAAATGTTAAGAGATATAGGAATTCATCACATTTTCTATATGCCAAATACAAATTAAAAAATCAAGACAATTCTTTTTTCACTCACCTCGATCGAGACGACCTTGATCTTTCGGTCGTTACCGTAGTTGTAGGTGGTGACATTGAAACGACCTTCACTTTCCCATTTCCTGTTCCATTTGTCCTCCCAATATTCGATGTTCTGTGTCCAGTCGCCTCTCTGAATTCCAAAACAAAACAGCATCAGGATCACTACACGAATTCAACAAAAATTCTGTCTACCAAAGGCTATTCGATAAGTGGTTATCGTAAGTCACAACGCTTAAAATAAAAAAAGTACTTTCCATTTAAAAGTTATTTTTTTAAGAACATGTAAGGGATCGCAATTAAGTCGTCAGTGGGAAAATGGGTGTGATATTTAGAATGGTAGTATCAAAGTCTGCTATTTTAAAGGTACATTAGACACAAGAGGAAACGAGAAGGTAATGTAATGATCAATTCAATAAACAATATATCATTATAATAATAATAGTCCGCTCTTGTGTAACGCATGACACATTTTGATATAAAGTCTCTCCATGCGCTTCTAAAGATATTTGGAAAATATATACAACGTTTTCGTTCACGTTGTAAACATTGGGGGGAAAAAACATCTTAAAACCAAAAGGGGTTTGATAATTGATCTTTAAAATACTCTGTATTTGTTTAAGTTTAAGATCACCACCTTAGCCGTGATGGGTTAAAGATGACGAGGAAAATACTATGCAATTGCTTCGTAAAGATACAACTATTTTTAAAAAAAAAGTGATTTCTGACATTTATACAGGGTAGCACATTTTTACCAATAGTGGTAACCCCCCCCAAAAAAAAAAAAAATAAATAAAAAATGCAATAGCAATCATGAATAACTGTCTCATAATCATGAACATAAATTCATCATGGCAGGGAGATTAAAGCGTCTGTCGAGAACGAGAAGGTATTTTAAGCCAAATTATTTGTTAAAATAATATATATATAGTTGACGCCTCTCTGGCTGCCAGCAGACGAAAGATACTTACGATCTGGTCGATGGTTTCACCCTGCCCACTGCGGACGGTGATGGTATAATTGACGCGGTTGCCCTCGTCATCGAAGGCGACGGTGCCCGTGATCCCCTCGAAAGTGACCTGTAATGAGAGGAAGATTTGATATATCATTTCCTTGGAAGATTCATGACATTAAAATGTTAATATTGCTCTCATGTGGAATTTTGTTTTGAAACGTCGCCCTCTTTCTACGAAACATTAATAAATGTAACATTAAAGGAAATAATGTTTCTTTACAAGTTAATGGACATTGAAACACAATCATTAATTTGTTATTTTCAGACATATCAAGATATTTATTTTTGGAAAGTTTAGCAAGAGTCTTACGCAATGTTACGGAAACCAGTTCTCCCCCAGGATTATCATATCATATCATATATCAACCTTTGACCTTTGACCTTGCCCCATATTTTTCATATTAAGCTATTTCCATGACTGTAGAATCATAACAAATGGGGTATCATTTTCAAAGGGAATCAAACACATGATATTAAACATAGCGATGATTATGCTATAACTAGAGTGATATAGTTTAATCGAAATTGAGCTTCCAAACTTATTTTGAGGGGTTAATAATTCAGACTGAATTGTGGCCACATACCTCTTTCAGGTAATAGGTCAGGTCATTTTCGTTCACCACCAAGGACGACGTCGGACAGGCAGGCATCGAAGAGTCGCCAGGAAGCACCGAACTACCCGTATTACCATCGGCAACTCGCTTCTTCCGGTACAAGCGGAGCCCGTGTCCGACGGCGATCACCGCATCGAAGGCGCAACGTTCACGGAACTGCCACTCTCCGGTGGGCGTGTTACGGGCGGTCGGGAGAGCGTACTGCTGCTCACGGGTGTAGTTCATGTTGAAGCGGGTGACGAAACCGTTGCTGTCCTCGAGATCCTCCAGAAATTGACGGTCGATACCCATGTCCTACAGGGGGGAAACGATTAAGAATGATGGATGCAACTCAGTTCAACGACATATCGTTGATATGCGTGTTAATCTTTTTAAACAAAACGTTTCAATGGGATGAACTTGTACAACTTGTACATATGACGCCTTTATGAAATGATGCCTAGGAAAACATCTTGATAACTTCTTCTATGAAATAAACAACACATTTTTGCTAAATACAATAAAGATTTATTTAAAAAATCTAAAATATTGATCTATTCAAACATGCTTAGTTTATCTCTGAGAGATAATCAATTTTTAAATACTAAAAAAGTTTAAAAAACAGCAATATAAACAAAATCAGCAGCAACAGGAACAACAAAATATAGATCTACTTATCTAGAAATAGTTCTCAACTTAAGGGAGAGAGGGAGGAAGAGAGACAGAGTGAAAGGGACGGCTATATCCTTACCATATTGCCAATCATCCATGTGTATGCTGGTCCCATTGTACCAAAGAGAAGAGCCTGGTGTCGGAGAAAGAGGGTTTATGAATATTTTCACTAAGAAATCAAACAAACCTATGAAGTCAAATTCACATTCAAGAAAACGTACACAGTCATCGGTATGCAAAACGTCAAAACGAGGAAATCACAAATTACAAATCTGACAAATTGAGAATTTTCTAAGGATGTTTTGCTTGTTAGAGGGTAAGTACAGTATAAAATGACTAAAAAAAAATTTTTTTCTCAAAAATTCAATGCTCCGGAGGGTCTATATCTTTAAGAGGACCTATACTAACATGCTACATGTAGCTATAATATATTTTGAGAAGTGCCCCAATTAGGGACAAGTAACTTACGAGAGAAACAATAATTAATGATACTTTTGTACACGGCCAATCGGAAAGTTATCCACCCTGTCCTACGTCACAATCCACTGACCGAACTACCAACTTGAGATTCGCATAGACTTTGTGATCTCATATTTCAAACATTCAAAACTTCCTTACTACTGGCCCGATTCATTTCAAACTTTTGCCATTCTGTTTATGTTATATAGTTTTCTGCTTTCAGACAAATCAACTTATTACAAGGGTTTGGATTGCCCTTACAATTCCTTCACTGTTCCGGCACACCTATTAATTTACAGAATTCAACATCTATTTCTTCATTTAAATACCTTTATAAAAAATTGTACTTTCATAAATGTTCTTAATAACCAATGACTCCAGGGATGCGTGTATGTCTTTTTACCCACTTAAATATAATTTGTTTTCTCTTTTTTTTTCTTACTTTGTTTCAAATCATTCCTTTTGTGATTCTAGGTATATCTCTGAATGTACATCCATGTTTGAACCTAATTTGTATCCATGTCTCTACTCGCAGGTTATTTTATAAAATGTAATATTATTTAATATCCATGTAATACATTTTATGTTTTGCATATTTCATTGATATTTGGGATTTCATTGATATTTGGGATTTTACCGTGTATATACAGGACCAATATGAAAAACAGCTTTGGCTGATATCGTCATCCTGTATAAATATTTTGAAATAAATAAAATAAAATAAATAAATACCTGATCAATGGTATTGCGAAGGATAATCTCGGAAGAGCAGTAGATGAAGATGTTTTTGGAGCCTCGTTCTTCGATCATTGGAATGTTGTTTCCGAACTCCTCGTCGATGATGACGGTTGAGATGTTCCACTTGTTCATGGTGGCGTACTCCATGACCCCTTCCATGTTTGCAAAAGCTACGGAAAACCGGAAGGAAAGAAGTGTATTCCGATTTGATTTGATTTGATTTATTGGTTTCTGCATCTTTTTTTTTTTCATCATACACTTTCATGAACATAATATGTATACAGTAGGCTTGCGGGTGCACCATGTGAGAGAGAGAGAGGCCCCCGCAAGCCTACTGTATATCTACATCACCATGCAAGCCGATAATTACAAGCAGCACATCGAACATAATATGTTTTGATACAATATTTTAAGTGTACATAATTTTATACAGATAACATACGAAATTAAACAAATATATTGAATGCATACTTAACATGCATTATATGCAGGAGGGCTACAGAATAAGCAAAGTAGCTTGACGTGCCCGTAGCCCTCAACTTAGATACAACAATAAAACCTTGTGTATGTATTTACAAAAGAAATGCCTTATTATATCCCAATTATAATTTCTTAAAATCATGGAAAACATTGATTTACACCTTTTCTGTAACTAACTAAGACCTGGGACATCCAACAACAGCAACAACAAAAAAAACGACAAACAAACAAAATCAGTTTTCTTGCTTTGTTGGGGTATACAGGATGTTTGTTCACCAGAGACAAGTTACCTCTAACATTCAGTTTATAAACACTCTTATTATCTTTCACGATCTCGATGTCGACTCACCTCCACCGTCGTCATAGAGCAGGGTGAAGTTCATCCAACTGTAGTAGGACAGGATGTCGATGTAGAAGCTGGTCATGTCCTCGGGAGACGGCTGCATCTTGAAGGCGGTCGAGCCCGAGCCCAGATTACCCGGGTCGATGGAGAAGACAGGGTTGGTCGCGTGGCTGAGAACGCCGGCGATGTCGTCGCTTGCCGTGCAGCGATCTTTCGGCAGGACGAGGGCGGACACCTGCGATGTCGCCACGTGGTCGCATCCTGATGGAGGAGGAGGAGAAGGAGAAGGAGGAGGAGAAGGAGGAGGAGGAGGAGAAGGAAGATGAGGATAATGAAGATGAGGGAAAGGGAAGGAAGATGAAAGAAACTCTCTCAAACTGATTCCTGACACAACCCTAAAATGGAAGACGGTTTGGCAAATTGAAAGTTCGAATCACACATATCACACAGTTCTAATCTCCGTTACAGCACATGTGGTTTGGCAAGGCATTGATTTACATTTGCCACTCTCGACCCAGGTGAAGCAAATGGTTACCTGGTTAGATAAATGTCCTTGATAGCTTTGAACCTTTTATCATCGAAGGTTGGCTAAGAACCAAAATAACACACATAATACTGCACAGTATCGAACATAATGGTTGCACGATATTAATCATTTTGTAAAATTATCATACTATTATTCTGTTTTACACAAATAACACCTTCACAAATGTTTTCAAGATGTCAAATCAATAGATTCAATACCGCATTCCATTGCCTACAGAAGTCACCTTCAGCTTACGTATTATGTCTTTGTAAAGTTTAAGTCTTCAAACATTTCGAAAGGTTATGGATAACTGGACAAAGCTATGAAAAGTGCTAAAGGTTGAATTCTTGAACGTCTTTGAGATGTCTCACATCAAAATTTAGGTATTGTTTAAATTTTTTTTAAAATTGGTGTTTAAAAAAGCTCGTCAGGCACATACCTTCTTGCAATGCGACGTACACGGAGTTGCTTGGTCTGCTGTTAATACTAGAATCAACGAATACCAGTTGATGAACCTCGGAGAGGAATGTGGTGTTTCTATTGATGTACCTGACCCCATCTTGTATGATTGTTTTGTAGTTATCCTGATAACCGGTCTCCGTTCCAAAGAGAGCACCTGAAGAAATAAACAAGTTTAAAGAAAAATGAAAGTTGTTTGCTTGTTTTTTTTTTATTTTTTTATTACCACAACAACATCAACAGGGTATAAAAACATTGTTTTGTAGTTATCATCTATATCGGTCTCCGTTCCAAAGAGAGCACCTGAAGAAATGAACAAGTTAAAAGAAAAATGAAATTTTGGTTGTTTGTTTGTTTTGATTACCACAACAACATCAACAGGGTATAAAAACATTGTTTTGAAGTAATCATCTATATCGGTCTCATTTCCAAAGAGAGCACCTGAAGAAATAAACAAGTTTAAAGAAAACGAAATTTGTTTGTTTGTTTTGATTACCACAACAACATCAACATCTTATAAAAACACTACAATATTACTATGAAACGTAACAACAGCTTGAATGACAAAATGAATTTTGTTTGCTTGTATTGATTACCATAATATCAGCAGGTCAATAAATACACAATGATTATAGATACATTGTAAGTTGTAACTATGGAAATATAAAAATATTCATAGACTGAACATGATATTCATTTGTTTGCTCATATAACAATTTACCAACAACAAAAAAGATTTATAAATACACGATGACCTTCAATACTGTAAAATATCAATGTTACAGTTAAAAATAGAAACATAGAATAAAAATGTTTTTTGTAGGTTTGAATTACCACAACATTACCAACAAGTAATAAATATAGAGAAACATTTCAGTCAATGCAATTGCAAAATTCCACTGTTCATGTATGGGTCCTATCAATTCCTTTACAGTTAAATACAAAATGACAAAATACCCAGGTCTTACTCTTGGGTAAGTTTATAGGATATTTTCAAATATCTTATTCATAAGATACGCTACATGTAACAAAATTAACGTTGAAAATGAATTAATGTGATCATCAGCATTTGAATCTATGTTTAGGAGTACATGGAAATGACGAAGGTCTAAACTGATTATTACGAATATCTACAGTTTTCCCCAAAAGGCAATTTTCGTAATAATCATCCGATTCATGCTACATAATCCTTGTACATCCTTGTACTTTTTGGTCAGGGTGTAGCCTATGTATTTTGCTACAGTTGTTCAATGAAAATGAAGAGATGAAAGGCATTTTCTTATTTAATCAGTAAACATGGCTTCTGAAATGGAGAGAGTACCCGATACGCAGTGGCACGGATTACTTTTCTGTGCCTGTCAATACGAAACAGGCACGCACATCGCGCCTTATGCTAATAGTACAGGCCTGGCAGCCATTTACCAATTTCACTGGATAAATAAACAACCAGATGGTTCGGTAATCGGTATTGATGTATCTCTTGTGCAATGATTTTGATTGGATGAATCATTATCAGAAATTATGTCGATGGAAAAAAATACAGGTAATGAACGCGTGTTATACATTAACTATACATGTACATGTATACCGAGGCCCAACCTATCTTTGTATCGAATGAATCATATGCATGGTCCCTTTTTTCTGTTGTGTACAAAGCAAATTCAGAACGGATTTGATTTATTTGGTGCAACCGCCATTAACATGAAAGCTCGAGAACATTTCAAAGAAGAAAAAACAGATAATGTCGTTATGCCTAAAAACTCGTATTTGGTGCAACCGTCATTAAGAAGCAAAGTTGCCAAGATGAATCTTTGAGTATCTAGCTAGAAAAGCGATAATTCATACACTTTGTTAATTCTTCCATCGCTAGAAAAGCATTGACGAAAGACAACCAGAGAATCTGACTAAACAGTTGTTTACAGTCACCTGTAATTCCATACAGCTGAAATGGGATAAAATCGTGAAAAAAAGATTTTCCCCAAAGAGAAGTTTGAAAGTTTTCTTTCAGAAAATCAATTTTTCATGTCGTCACGTACGTCTAGACATATTTCGAGCTTTCGACCCAAATCCCGATGTGGCATTTATGTCGCCGGTGGCGCCGTGGTCAGTTTACGGGTCATTCATCTTGAGGAGATGACCACCGAATATTATAGGCCATTGTGGTATTTTGATTACTCTTATTCTCAGCACGGGTTTAGTTTTAATGACGGGAGAAAATTATCCCCATGGAACCACAAAGTTTTTGACATGAACCACTCTAAAAGAAAACACAATTCTCAACTCGAATTACAGTATATGCATGTTTAGTCGTATACAAAAAATGAAGGACAAAATTTATCTTTGTTGTAAGGAAAAAAAAAAGACTCTTTACTTTTTCATATTTTTCCTACAGTATTATAGCTTAAAATTACACCATTTCTTCGCTTATTCACCAACTGAACTAACCCTCGTGCTTGAAATACATGTGAAACCAGTTGATAAGAGAAGGGGGTGGGGGGGGGGACAATATATATACACGCTTGGTTTCCAATATTTTCATCACCCGGATTGGCAAAAAGAGAACCTTCCAATCCCGAAGATACATGACGGGATCATCTTCGCTTTTACAGCTAAAAAATGGATGAAAAGATGATGATCGACGGTACGGACAGAGTCTTCACCTTCTCATTCTTTACATAACTATCACTGAGTGTTTGGGATGTTCTTCAGCACTCGACGTGACAGGCGATAGAATCCTTATGATCACCTGGTTGTGACATCTTGTGTCATCCGAAAATTGCTGACAGCTTTATCGGTCGTGAAGGAAAAAAATGCTCCAATCTCAGCTGATAACATTCTTTCCACAAAGAAAATGTTATGGTGTAGCAAGTGTAGGATGGAACGGGGGGTATCCCAGGGAAAATACACGGGGGCTCGGGGCGAATTATCTCCCGAAATGCCCAAAAGAGCCCCTGAATGTCATAAAAGAGCCCCCAAACTTTGCATAGAGTTCAATGCAAAACAAATTAAAGATTGTAATTTTAATGCAAGCAAGCTGGAAAATAGCCCCCATTTTTAAAAAAATATTTCCCCCCTGGAGTTTATATCAATGACTGGATACGCCAGTGAACTTGAACTGTGTCGATTTTATTACGTGAGAAATTTCACACGAGTCCAAAGATTAACTGCATGTAATACGGGATCCCCATGACCCATCACATTGAAAAATACAAATATTTCTAAAAAGAGGATTTGATCGGTATATAATATGACAAAATAATTTATGTACGGTGCTGAATAAAACATCTCTGAACACATTTTAGACACTAGTCAATAGGACGCAATGTGTGCACCATCAGTGGAAGGCAGTTTAATCGTGAGGGAAAACTACAAAATTATTTTTAAACAAATTTGGTCAAGGGGGTGCAAAATATGAGCAGCAAATAAAAAACATTCCGATTTTAATACTTTGCCTATCGTTGTCATCATCTCATTTAAAGGACTGTTTCTATTTCTTCGTGAATTAATTTCTCTCTGACAAAACCTCTTATGCCTTTATTTACTGGTATTGCAATTGCAGTTCGTGTATTATTATACTTATATCTGAAATAACGAAATGATGACAAAAATGATGATTTCGTCAAACACAACGCAAGCAATAACCGAAGACAATATGGAAAGGGTGTCAATTCATCTCGCATTTTGACATATTCTTTGTATCTTTTAAGATAAACTCGCTTACGCATGCCTTGCATATATCCCACGATATCACCCAAGTGATATAAGAGATCATTGGAGGTTGCTGATCTCGACGAAAGATGACACTATTGGCATCCGAGTTTCTTTACTCTACCGTATCTTCGCCTCTATAGTTCAAAATAAAGAAATGCAACACCTCTGGACAGTTGGTTGAACCTTTTTCTAATCTAAGAAGTTTAAACAATTCCGGTATAGCTAGAAAATAATCAAAGAATTGTTCGATAATCTTTACGGAGTTTTCCCCTCAATTCTGTCATTGTATAGAAATGCAACACCTCTGCTAAAGTAGGCGTTGAGACAATAATTGGTTCCACATTTTAAGAAGTTGAAACAGTTCCGGGATAGGTAGAAAATAATCAAAATACTATTTTAACGGATACCCCCCCCCCCCAACCCCCTCCGTTCCCCGTTCATCTCATCCTTGTATTATACAGCCTGTGGAAATGCAACACCTCTGCCACAGTATGCGTCAGGACAGTTATTTGGTTGCACCTTTTCTAATCTAAGAAGTTTAAACAATTCCGGTATACGTGGAACTTAATCAAAATATTTCTCGTTTTTCAGATAACGTTTGGAGGTGTTACATTTTGATACATTTCTTCTTGAAACAGATACATTTTCATTTTCGACAAGTTCGATTAAGCCCACGTATCATTTTTTAAACTTTCATAGGATATGGGATTTGAGAGAGGACAGTTTAACAAGGATTGTTTACCTCTTCGTCGTACCTTTTACTTTTCTCTTTCAACGAAATAATAAAATTGAATTTCCCCACTTTCTTTCAAATGAGTTATCGGAGAAGCTTCATTTAACCTTAAAGATATATGAGCCTGATAAGGAGTATGTTTTCTCATTTTTGGTCAATTTTATTTCGATTTCGATTTCCTAAGAGCCATATCGTGATGCAGTACACACTCACTAAACCTTCACGTATGACAAATCAAGCCTACAAGTGTTATATTTGATGATTCTATATTTCGTTCCCATACGGTTTCTTTTCGTTGTTTTCTACTTCAATGTACAAATGTACTTGATTTGGGATTTACAGTTGTAGGCGTTTATATCAAAGAAAGCTTCTTTTTTTTTGGCCCACTTTGAATCATTTATTCAATCGACTTTTTTTATTTTTCAAAAGATAATTACATGCATATGAGTATTGTCAAGTAAAATATATAAACAATACATTAATCACGAAGACTCGTCAGGTTTTGTAAATCAATTATTGTTATGAATAATGATGTATGAGGAAGTATGAGTGTGTGTCTGTGCGTGGGGGGGGGGGGGGTAGAATGTAGCCATGAGAGCTATAGGTACGCCCACTATACGGCAACAATGCCAGCAATATTACGTATAGAGAAAAATATGGTAGCCATGACTCATGACTGTGATAAGCGTACTATTTGTATGATACATCAACCA